TTATACCTTACTATACAATGACGTTTTTATGCCTTACTATACTATGAAGTTTTTATATCTTACTATACTATGACGTTTTTATGCCTTTCCATACAATGACATTTTTATGCCTTACTATACTATTACAATTTATGCCTTACTATCTAAGATGTTTTATGCCTTACTATACTATGATGTTTTTATGCCTTACTATACTATTACTCTTTATGCCTTACCATAGAATGACGTTTTTATGCCTCACTATACTATGACGTTTTTATGCCTTACCACACTACAACTTTTCATACCTTACTATACTATGACGTTTTTATATCTTACTATACTATGACATTTTTATACCCTACTATACTATGACGTTTTTATACCTTACTATAATATGACATTTTTATACCCTACTGTACTATGACGTTTTTATACCTTACTATATACTATGACGTTTTTATGCCTTATTATACTATGACGTTGTAATGCCTTACTATAATATGACGTTGTAATTCCTTTCTATGCTATGACATTTTCATACCTTACTATACTATGACTTTTTTATGCCTTACCATACAATGACGTTTTTATACCTTACTATACAATGACGTTTTTATGCCTTACTATACTATGAAGTTTTTATATCTTACTATACAATGACGTTTTTATGCCTTTCCATACAATGACGTTTTTATGCCTTACTATACTATTACAATTTATGCCTTACTATCTAAGACGTTTTATGCCTTGCTATACTATGACGTTGTAATGCCTTACTATTCTATGACGTTTTTATACCTTACTATACTATGATGTTTTCATACCTTACTATACTATGACGTTTTTATGCCTTACTATACTATTACAATTTATGCCTTACTATCTAAGACGTTTTATGCCTTGCTATACTATGACGTTGTAATGCCTTACTATTCTATGACGTTTTTATACCTTACTATACTATAAAGTTTTCATGCCTTACTATACTATTACTCTTTTTGCCTTACCATACAATGACGTTTTTATTTGACAATGACGTTTTACTATACAATGACGTTTTTATACCTTACTATACTATGATGTTTTCATACCTTACTATACTATGACGTTTTTATGCCTTACCATACAATGACGTTTTTATACCTTCCTATACTATGATGTTTTTATGCCTTACTATACTATGACGTTTTTATGACTTACTATACTATGAAAATTTTATACCCTACTATACTATGACGTTTTTATACCTTACTATACTATGACGTTTTTTTGCCTCACTATACTATGACGTTTTTATACCTTCCTATACTATGATGTTTTTATGCCTTACTATACTATGACGTTTTTATGCCTTACCACACAACAACTTTTGATACTTTACTATACTGTGATGCTTTTATGCCTTACTATACTATGACGTTTTTATGCCTTTCGATACTACAACTTTTTATGCCTTACTATACTATGACGTTTCTATGCCTTACCACACTACAACTTTTTATACCCTACTATACTGTGACATTTTTATACCTTACTATACTGAGATGCTTTTATGCCTTACTATACTATGACGTTTTTATGCCTTACCACACTACAACTTTTTATACCCTACTATACTGTGACATTTTTATACCTTACTATACTGAGATGCTTTTATGCCTTACTATACTATGACGTTTTTATGCCTTACCACACTACAACTTTTTATACCCTACTATACTGTGACATTTTTATACCTTACTATACTGTGATGCTTTTATGCCTTACTATACTATGTTTTCATGCCTTACTAAACTATTACTCTTTATGACTTACCAAACAACGACGTTTTTATACCTTACTATACTATGACGTTTTTATGCCTTACCATACGATGACGTTTTATACCTTACTATACTATGACATTTTTATGACTTACTATACTATCAAGTTTTTATATCTTACTATAATGTGAAGTTTTTATACCCTACTATACTATAATGTTTCTATGCCTCATTATACTATGATGTTTTTATGCCTTACTATACTGTGACGATTTATGCCTTACTTTACCATGACGTTTTTATGACTTACCACACTACAACTTTTTGTACCCTACTATACTGTGACGTTTTTATACCCTACTATACTATTACTCTTTATGCCTTACCATACAACGACGCTTTATACCTTACTATACTATGATGTTTTTATGACTTACTATGCTATCAAGTTTTTATATCTTACTATACTGTGAAGTTTTTATACCTTACTTTACTATGACGTTTTTATGACTTACCACACTACAACTTTTTATACCTTACTAAACTATAACTTTTTATGCCTTATTATATTATGATGTTTTTATGCCTTACTATGCTATGTTTTCATGCCTTACCATACTATTACTCTTTATGCCTTACCAAACAACGACGTTTTTATGCCTTACCATACTATGATGTTTTTATGCCTCACTATACTATGACGTTTTTATGACTTACTATACTACAACTTTTTATGCCTTACCATACAATGACGTTTTTATACCTTATTTTATTATGACGTTTTTATGCCTTACTATACTATGACGTTTTTATGACTTACTATACTACAACTTTTTATGCCTTACTATACTATGACATTTCTATGCCTTATTATATGATGTTTTTATGCCTTACTATACTATGACGTTTTTATGCCTCACTATACTATGACGTTTTTATACCTTACTATACTATGATGTTTTTATGCCTTACCATACAATGACGTTTTTATACCTTACTATACTATGACGTTGTAATGCCTTACCATACAATGACGTTTTTATACCTTATTATATTATGACGTTTTTATGCCTTTTCATACAATGACGTTTTTATACATTATATTATGACGTTTTTATGCCTCACTATACTATGACGTTTTTATACCTTACTATACTATGACATTTCTATGCCTTATTATACTATGATGTTTTTATGCCTTACTATACTATGACGTTTTTATACCTTACTATACTATGACATTTCTATGCCTTATTATACTATGATGTTTTTATGCCTTACTATACTATGTTTTCATGCCTTACTAGACTATTACTCTTTATGACTTACCAAACAACTACATTTTTATACCTTACTTTACTATGACGTTTTTATGACTTACTATACTATGACGTTTTTATGCCTTACCATACAATGATGTTTTTATACCTAACTATACTATGATGTTTTCATGCCTTACTATACTAATACTCTTTATGCCTTACCATACAATGATGTTTTTATACACTATTATACTGTGACGTTTTTATACCTTACTATACTATGACGTTTTTATATCTTACTATACTATGACGTTTTTATACCTTACTATAATATGACGTTTTTATACACTACTATACTGTGACGTTTTTATACCTTACTATACTATGACGTTTTTATATCTTACTATACTATGACGTTTTTATACCTTACTATAATATGACGTTTTTATACACTACTATACTGTGACATTTTTATGCCTTACTATACTATGACATTTTTATGTCTTACTATACTATGACGTTGTAATGTCTTATTTTACTATGACGTTTTTATGCCTTACTATACTATGACATTTTTATGCCTTACTATACTATGACGTTGTAATGCCTTACTATACTATGACGTTGTAATGCCTAACTATACTATGACGTTTTTATGCCTTACCATACAATGATGTTTTTATAGCTTACTATACCATGACGCTTTTATGACTTACCATACTATGACGTTTTTATACCTTACTATAATATTACTCTTTATGCCTTACCATACAATGTTGTTTTTATACCTTACTATACAATGACGTTTTTATGCCTTAACATACTATGACGTTTTTATGCCTTACCACACTACAACTTTTTATACCGTACAATACTATGATGCTTTTATGCCTAACTATACTATGACGTTTTTATGCCTTACTATTCTATGAAGTTTTTATGTCTTACTATACTATGAAGTTTTTATACCTTACTATACTATGACGTTTTTATGCCTTACTATACTATGACGTTTTTATATCTTACTATACTATAATGTTTTTATGCCTTTTCGATACAACTTTTTATACCTTACTACACTATGATGTTTTTATACCTTACCATACAACGACGTTTTTATACCTTACTATACTATGACGTTTTTATGCCTTATTATACTATGACATTTTATACCTAACTATACTATGATGTTTTAATGCCTTACTATACTATTACTCTTTATGCCTTATCATACCATGACGTTTTTATGCGTTACTATACTATTACTCTTCATGCCTTACCATACAACGTTTTTATACCTTACTATATTATGACGTTTTCATACCTTACTATACTATGACGTTTTTATACCCTACTATACTATGACGTTTTTATACCTTACTATACTATGACTTTTTATGCCTTACCCTACTGTGACGTTTTTATGACTTTTTTATGATTCACTATACTATGACTTTTTTATGCATTACCATACTATGACATTTTTATTACTCACTGTACTATTTCTGTTTCATGATTTACTATACTATGTTGTTTTTTTGACTTGCGATAGTATGACTTATTTTGTGTTTGAACTTCCAGTGCAAAGGTTGTCCCCCTATGTGTGGTCATTATCATTTTTAGTGAATTCTTCTTTTCTATTCATACAACTTGGCTGTTTGATGGAGGCATACAACTGCAAAGCGGTAATTCTAGTTTGTACAGTACTGAGGAAATGTTCTCGTGACTATTCGTATTAGAATAATGCATTAAACACTGATGCAATTGAAACGATTGGTTAAATTGAAAATGTTTTAGTAGAAAAACATGTTTTAAAGGTAGCCAATCCAATGAAGTATCATGTCCTGTCCCATGACCTAGAATTGGAACTGAGGGTATCATTATGTCACCTGTTACCCAACCTTCGCCCTAATCCTAATCAGAAACTAACACAGACTAAAAACTTTTCAAAGAGCATCACAGATTTCAAAGTGTATAAAAGCAGGGAACTTACACAAATTACACTTGGATGTCCGAGCTGATACCAGTAGTTGAAGTGATGTTGGGAGTAACATGGCACAGTTTGTCCTTTAACATTTGACGTCAGGCATAGCTCTACAAGAAAAGAAAGTTGGGAGATCTATAACCAAGTCAACATACTGTACGAACCAAGGAACATTACTCATTTCGTCTTGGTACCCAGTGGTATGTTGTTCTTTAGCACTTTGTTGACCAGATTTTGAGATCCACCCACTTCAGGATGCAAGAAGGTGCCATGACCGATCCTGTCTGGAGGAAGATTCAACAGCAAATCTGACTCCTCCAGCTGGGATGGAACCTGCAACGTTTTTTGTTGCAATGTCATCACACTCGCAGACAATGTGACTAAAGTCAAATGATAAAAAAGAACATTATGATCATACTTCTGAAAGGTGCAGTGACAGCTTCAGTCCACAGTTCTTGGCCCTCTCTAAAGCTGGAAGTAGTGATTTGCCATCACCCACCTTAGAATGAAAATTCCATTAATTAATCCAGCAACAAACACCTTACATTTTTAATGGATTAAATACATCAAACAAGTAGGTGACAGTTACGTGAACTACAGAAAAATAGGTAAAAAAGGAGAAAAAAAGTAAAAGGGTAAATGTAGAGTTAGAAAATGCTATTTGGACTGATTTGTGGATGACAGAACAAATGTTGCTAATTCAGTTAATTTCCATCAACAAAAAATTAATATAATTTAGCGGTACCAAAATACAACAGTATACATCTCATATTTAGATTGCAGTGCCAGTTTATGATATGAATAAATGTAATGCACAAGTTAAAAATTAATTTAAAAAAGACACTAATACTGTCAAAAGGCGATTAACATCTTTGTGAGCCACTTATAGTGAAAGGGGGAAAAACAGGGGTGCCCTGGTTTAAAGAGGTGTAGGAACCACTTGTCTAATTTTATATTTCTAATACATTTCTCTAATAACACATCACATTAAGCATAAAACTGTCATTTTATTTTCACCAGTAAATTTTCTTTGCTACTTTCCACCTTTGCAAGCCTCAAACTGGCTGACTAACCGTTGGATCTCCACTCAGGTCGAGTCCCACCACCAAACCATCAGAGGACAACAGGAACTGCTCAGCCAGGGCCACTGTCTCCATGGCAACTTCTGCTCCATTCCTGCGGTCAATTGCCACGAGAAACCTTCAAGATAAATCGTCACGTTTAGTATGATGCACTACTTAGGCCAGCAGTGAAGATGTTGGAACATCATAGTCAATCATTATACTATGAGAGACATACAGGAGTGCGTGTGTTTCTGTATTTTTTCTACACTGCAATAATAATGCATGCTATGCCTACCTGACATCAATGTCCAATCCCTCATTTTTGCACAGCTGGATGGCTCTGATGACAGTTTCAATATATCCCTTTTTTGTCAATCCTAGGAAAAAATATAATGAACTTGTAACTAGCAACTAATGATTATTTTCATTATTGATAAATCTGCCAATTATTTTCTTGATTAATGGTCAACATCAGAAAATAGTGAAAAATTCCCTATGATTTCCTACAGCCCAACGTGTTGTGATGTGGGAATCTTGGTCCTGGCCTTGTTTTGACAGACCAAGTCCAAAATCCAAAGATATTCAGTTTACTGACATGTAGGACAAAGAAAAGCACCAACAAAATCCCTTCATCTGAGAAGCTGGAAATAACATTTATTCGATTAACAATATAATTCATTTTCTGTTGATTGACTAATCAATTAATTGGCTAATCATTGCAGCTGTATTTGTAAGCCTAATAATTTGGCAAAAGACATTAGGCTCCATGCTGAACATCATTACCTGTGTGTTTCTCCTCCCTTGGTGTACTTCTGAGCTCTAAATATTTGACAGAGTCAGCTGCAAACTCCCGGATGACATCTGTAGTCACCTGGAAAGAAAAAACTAACATATGTTGATGATACTCTACGCAAACAATTAGATTAAAAAAAGAGCAACACGTGAGTTAATTTTTAACTGCGGGTCAGTCCTCACCATCAGGATGTCCTCCTCCGTGTCCACCAGCTGATGGATGACCTTGAAGACCTGAAAACACCTGAGGCCATGTGCGCCATGTTGTTTTAATGTTGACCCGTGTAACAAAGACACCCCTTCCTATTGTCAGTCTACTGTTGTCTACGTGAATACAGATCATTTGCTTCACATGGAGCATACAGAGACGATTATCTAATTATCACTTACTTGACTGATTCCCCTTAATTAAGAAAGAATGGATGAAATTACTAATTAATCATCAGTTTCACCTGTTTGATATCAAACACCCCCTCTAGCTCTTGTATTAAACTTTGAATAAATTAAGACGTACTCATCCAGCGTCCTCCGCTGGCCTTTGCCGATAGCAGTCATGCTGTGCTCAATGTTGAGATGTGGTTTTCGCTTGATGAGTTTCTCGATGGTCTGGGAGCTGACAGAGCCGTTGAGGTGAGCATGAAGCTCCTGGTGACAGTTAAAACGCTGACGTTAGCATGTAGCTATCACAAACGTTAACCACATTTAGTTACTTCTTTCTAAACACCAAGTTCTTTCTTTCCTTAAAATATTATCGTCACATTTCCTGACTTACCACTTTCGGCAGCTGACGATAGAAGACGTCAGCTTCATTATCCATCACAAAGTATAACAAAGAACGAGACAGCTAGTGTGCGAGCCCTGAGCTGTTGTCTGTCACATCACGCTGACAAACCACCTGTGTTTTCAGTCTACATTTCACTGTGGCACCACCAAGTGCAACAAGGAAATATGCCCCAACTTCTGTAGTTGTTTCCCTCATCAAGGTTCCGCTACTTCAGCTGTTCCAGAGCCCTTGAATAGAGATATCACTATTCAAGGGCTCTGAGATTGTCTTAAAAACTCTGGCGTTTTGGTTTCTTTGTAGCTGATAAAGCAATGACTCTTATTTCCTTATTAATTTATTTATTTTTCTAATACAATCATTTTGAAGGAAATGTAGCATTACATAACCACTATTGTTTTTCTTTTAATAATAAATCTAGGTCATCGCTTGAATAACATTGGCATTTTGACTATATGTACTATGTGAAACTTACTATTTTATTTTATAAAATTTCAGAGGAAAATGTTGCACTTTATCCACTTTATTACATTCATCAAATTGTCTGGTTACTTTGCAGAACATGATTTTTATACATAACACCATGATATCAGTGGTGGAAGAAGTATTCAGAACCTTTACTGTACTCCTTTATCCTTTAAGTAGTAATACTGCACTATAAAAACAAAAGTCCTGCATTCAAACTGTTCTTTTATTTTAAAGTACACTGATTATTTTCAACAAAATATACTTAAAGTATCAAACGTAAAAGTACTCATTATCCAGAATAAGCCATTTCAGAATGTTAAATTACATATAATAGATAAGTGCATTTTTATTACTGATGCATTAGTAAATATGCAGCATTTTAATGTAGCTGGTCAATATGGAGCAAATTTCAACTATTTTGTATTTAATTTATAATTATGCATATGCACAATTATGCATCATCGTTTATAAGATGATATGTTTACGCTGTAAAATCTTTATCACCAAAATAACTAATAAGTGGTAGCTTTCAAACACATAACTGAACGTAATGGAGTAGAAGCATAAAGTAGCAAAATAAATAAAATAAAAAAATATAAATACTCAAGTCAAGTACAAATATCTCTAAGAATTGTTATGATACCAATTGCAAGTAGAGTATCTGGGTAATATTACAGTACACACTTACACACTGATGGGAGTTTATATTACTATTTACTATTACAATATTAAATAGCCAATATTTAATCTTTAACTGACAATCTTTATAAAAAAGTATTTTAAATATCACAAAACAAACAAAATTAATTACTTTTTATTGTTGAAAATGGCAGCAAAGTAAACTTATTAGCATTTTCCTTTTCTCATTACATACAAAATCCAGATAGTTTGATTAAATCGAAAGATTTGCAAAGTAAAACATTTTTTTTTAAGTCAGATGAAAAAATTGCATACATGGGAATGATGACTGAGCTGAATGGTGTTGTTATATCAGTAGTAAAGATGGCATTGGTCAAAATGTGTGCTTCTTTTTAGACGTACAGAGGGATTCAAAAGTAGGCAAATTAAAAATTATATAACCATGAACAAATAAAGCTGCATAATTATAGTCATTTTAACTTAGTCCTTTTAACAATTCAACATTCACCATTTCATGCAAAAAAGGTGTACCTGGAAACTGAAAAAAAAAAAAAAAAAAAAAAAAAAAAAAATACAGCAAGTTATGACATGTCAAAGTTGCATTTCTACTTTTGAAGCATCTTTCCTCTTTAAACTGATACCACAGTTTCAATCAGCTTAGTCAAATGATGTTCAAAAGTTCATAAAATGAAATGAAGCCGCCGATATGACCATGGATATTACTGGAAAGGACATAAAAGATATAAAAAAAACAGGCCAAGGGACTGTGGCTCTGCGACAGCACCCTTCGATATGACAGTTAATTATTCACTCTTGATAACAGAGTGCAAGACTTACTAGAGCAACTGAGTCAGTAACTAAGAGTCACTGCAGTTTGAGCAACCTGAGACACTATGAAACCTACATTCTGACACTCATATTTAACAGTTAAGGAAAACAGTATATGTTGTGAACTTTGCCAAAAAATACAGTCCGTGAGATCAATTTTTTCATCCCTGGTTGTGGTCCGAGTGATCAAAATGAAGGAAGAGGAAAGTCACTTTTCGTTTCAGATCTCGCTGTCAGATGTCTCACGGTTTTTTTCCCATCCCTTGGCTGATATGTTGAAGCCACTCCTTCAGCATTTGAAAGCTTGGTCGAGCAGCAGGATCCAGGTTCCAGCACTGTTTCATGATGTTATAGACCACTTCAGGACAGCCATCTGGACAGTCCATTTTGTATCCCTTCTCCACTCTAGGCACTACATCTTTTAATGGCTACAGAAAAGAGGAAAGTTGTTGGTACAAAGTGTTCCATGGACAGGAGACAATCTAATCAATTTTGATTAAGTAGTATGAACCTTCTGTGTCACACAATTTGCAATTTCACACACACGATGTGATTGGTGAAAAACGCTTTCAACCGACTAAATAACACGGCAGATGAAGAAGTTGTTTGTTTTTTTTTAAAATAAAAAATTAAAGTTTTGCTCTTCTAAATCTTGCAGTACTTGGGAATTTATTTCAACATTTTTATTGTCTTTAACAGTTATGGATTTTTCTGTTATGTGCATTACTTAAATTAACATTTCAATCTTTTATAGAAGCCACAAAGTATATCACTATTTTCCCATAAGTATAATAATAAATATATTCTCAAGCATTAATGCTAAAGAATATAGACTGTAAATCATTGCTAATTGATTAATCTCTGACTTAAAATTCCTCCTTCATATTTTCTGTATGCCTCACAAAAAGATATTGATACTTACAATTCTTGGATAAGGCACTCGGCCAAAAGAGTAAATCTCCCAAAGCAAAATACCGTAGCTCCAAACGTCTGATTTGGTGGAAAATTTCTATCAGTTAAGAGAGAAACATAGATGTCAGAGTTTCTGTCACTGCGTGGTTGGTAAAAAAAATGGGAAAGCACACTACTCAGTATGGTCAGCATTCCCTCTAAATAACAGTGTACCTTTTCTCTGAGGGCCTCTGGTGATGTCCATTTCACCGGAAGCTTAGCAGTATCTTGAGTGGAAGAGGCCTCCTTGGTCAGACCAAAGTCACTGACTTTAGCGATGTTGTCTTCTGACACCAGAACGTTTCGGGCTGCTAAGTCTCGGTGGACAAAGTTATTTGCCTCCAGGTACGCCATGGCTTCACAGACGTCTCTGTGCAGGTGCAGAAAAGAAAAGCTGAGAACCTCAAGGATGTTTCCTTTTAAACTCTCAATCCTGGCCTCAAGTAATGTGCTGAAGAAATTTTCTGATGATACCACAAAATATGGGCAATCTTAAAGATACAGTGTGGAGTATTCTTATAAACAAACGGTTTACATTCAATGTTTCTCATCTAAGATGCGTTCACCTGACAAGCAGGCCGAATGCATTTCCAATGAGTCAACATTTGTGAAGCTCATTTCTCTTCATCTTCTCCTTGTTTACTGGAGCACTGTTGCTGTTTTACATTGCATCATAACCACCAACTGTTGATGTGTGTAACTGCCTCAAACTGAAAGACAGCTTGTCCCTCTCATTTGGTAATAATGGTTCATTTTGCAGGAGGGCTACTCCCGCAAGTCTATTTTACAAACACATTAAGCAAGAGTTTCCAATCTTAGTGAGATTTTCCTAAAGTCATTAAACCGTATTAACGTAATTAATAAATATTTTAAGATGTAAATGAGAAAAAAACAAAAATGGACAAAGCATTAGCTATTTGCATGCTGTAAAGAAATTGCTTTGTGGATTCATTAGACCAATTATAATGTGTAGTATGAATTTTGTTTCACATTCTGTTGCAGTATGCACCCCAACACGTATTTGCATTCTGATCTTCTACAGTTGCAAGAGTATCATTTCACCTCTGTGCTTATGTGCATGAGCCAAAATACACACAAATCTGCCACCTGGTCATCAAAATAGTGCTCCACGCCCCTAGTGGTCAAAAACTCCACCGTCTACCTTTAATACAGTATGACTCGAGATATTGTGGATAACTGCAGAAATACGCACAGTGCAAAATTAAGGAGAGCGTCTCCACCAAGTACTGTCCGGCCTCTGGAACGTAAGTAGTCAACTAAACAGCCCTGAGAAAAACAAACAAACGTGTGACACATTCATTACTACGTCCTGGATTTTGACAAATGATCAGCTGGTCAGACAGTCAGCCACCTACCTTGGCCATGTACTCCGTAACAATGAACAGACTCCCGTTTTCCTCTACTATCACTCCAAGCAGCTGCACTAGGTTATCGTGCCGTAGTTGCCTGAGGGAGGAGGAAGAGCACACAGACATGTTATTTTGGGGTTGTTTGTGTTTCTAAAAAAAAAAAATGTATATATATGTATATATATATATATGTATATAAATATAACAAAATATTTAATGACCCTTACGTCATGACAGAAGCCTCTGCAATAAAGGCCTGTGCTGTAGCATCATTTTTTATGCACTTCACAGCTACTTTAGTCCCTCTGTAGTCTCCAACCATGACATCTGGAACAATCACAAACAATAACAATGTGCTGTTGGTACACAATCAGGGAAACTGTATTTATCTGACCCTGAACTGAAGAAAAGGTGAAATAGGTGAAAAAATCATATGTTCTGCAAACAAAATGTATTAATCTGGTATTTAAATGTAGTTTAACCAAACATTTTACTAAATTAATCTTCATGGATATGAAAATTGCATTAGTACATGTTCATAATACATTTATGATCCCTGCAACATGTGAGCAATAAAATAAATTGGATCACTTGTACTCTGCAGTGTAAATTTAGCCAAGGTTTAAATGTGAACTTGCCTCCAAACTCTCCTTTTCCAATAACCTGCTGCAGTTTGAGGTCCTTCCTGCTCATTGACCAGCCACCTGTTGGCCATTTGAAGAGAAAACAGCATGCAGCTGAGACACAACAGGCCCATACATGCTTCTCATAGACAAAAGGGTTGCAGTGTCACAGTCACATGAATTGTAAAAGACTGAAAAACTGAGCCTTACTCCTGGAAAATTCATCCTGAGCGGCCACCGTCCCCTCCTCCACCTTTGGCTTGATTAGTTTGGTGCACAGGCCATCTGCATCTTTGGTGTAGTGCTAGATACAAACAAAGACAAATTAAAAACCAACCAGGAGAAATGAGGAGTAAAATGAACATAAAGTGGAAACGAAAGCATTACATCACTTTGGAGGAGTGTCAATTACTCATGGCCTTGTACCATCAAAGAAAATGTTTACTAGAGCACGAAAAACACCAGAACCACATACAACTGTACCAACTTCTTTAACACTAATGGAGCTTCAATAAACATATATATGATGAAAAAAATCCCACCAACATTACAGTTTAGAAGCAATAAAACTCAGTGTGCAGCGCTTCACAATGACCAGTAGAGGGCTGTCTGGTCTAATGAGAAAAGACAGAATGGCTGACTGATAAGGTTTCCCCCTAAATAGGTCATACTGAACTTACACATCTATTTTACTCTGTAGAATATTTTGTTTGCTGCTTGCCAGAAATGTTTCACACAGGAAAAGGAGTCATTTTAAATTGATATGCACTTCTGTTTTAGGGTAAAATGACTGGCGTCTTTTTGAGGTTAGAACTCTGAACCTCAGCATACTGTTCACTCTTCCTCTTTGACACTTCCTGTTCATTATTTGTTCCAGGAACTGTATGTGGTCTATGAGGTAGCACAAAGACACAGGAACTCTAAAACAGGAAAGTACACCATACATACAGTAGACTCAATATAGCACGAGAGCAAACATCAGAAGCACCTAGTTTTATTTAGAAAACAAAAACTAATATTGTGTCTTACCTCAACCAGCTGCATGAGATTTTCAAAAAACCCCTCCTCATCAATAGTGAGCTTGCCGTTGTGGTAAATGATGCGGTAGTGCTCCACCTTGCCATCGCAGCTCACACACAGGGTGTAGTCACCGGGGAAGTTGGTGCTCTCTCGCACTAAGAACAGGCCTGTTTCAGGTGGGTGAAGCAGCTGCTCTGCCCGATCCCGCGTTATCTTCCCGTGAAACCATCTGGGAGTGGAAGAGGCAGAGAGGCATCAGTACATCCACAAAATAGACCACCACAACTCAGTCACCAAAACTCATCTTAATCGCAGTGAATTAAATAAATATAAACAAAATGTTTTGAAAATGTAGCACAAAAATCCTTAAAATTATGATAATGTGTAGACTTGAGAAACCTAATGATTGAAATCTACATTGATCTTTTCTGCTGATTTCCTCTGCCTGCATCAGTCATTACAAAACATATTTCTCCTCTTATTTTTACTAATTTCTACGAAGACAGTTCGTACCTGTACAGACAGGTTTTTTTTTGTATTTTATTTTATTATACAAATATTTAAAAGTACTTTATATGTATTAAGTGCTATTATAACATATACATTTAATCTTATTACATTTTGGATAGGGCCTCACATGTGGAAGCTGGTTTATGTGGTCCCCCCTGTAAAATCGAGATCAGTGACCTTAACATCCCATTTCCAAGCTGTCCCTTTTCTATTTTTCTATCTATGTTCTTGTAATTTGTGCTCAAGTGATTATGTACTGAATATTTGCCCTATTTATTTTTTGTCATTTTGGGAATTAATGTTTTCTATTCAGACTCTGAGGGTTTAAGTGTAATATTTCATTGGTTTCTTTTGATATGATTTATGATGTTCCCTATTTATTCTTAAAATGAATCTACTTTCTGTGTAATAATTTTTGTGACCTTATGGTTTTTCCCATTGTCAACTGATTTAAATTTTTGTGCAGTAGGTCAAGGGGAATTAGCCTTAATGAACCCTAATAATATATTTTCTTTCCTTCACTTCATCCTGTGTGTGTTTGCTTATTTGTCCGTTGACTATTTGGTCCATAGTCCATGGCTGATGTTTCTGTGTGTGTGTGTGTGTATGTGCAGGCTCATTGTCATTTGTTGTATGAAATGCCTGATGAAATATAGCTACTGAATAAGTTCACCCTAAGTGTTGACAATGTGCAGGAGCTGATTTTTGCTTTGAACCAGTTGTTCTGCTTGTCAATAATCAGCTGAAAGTATTATTTTCCTTTCCCCACATCAGTCTGGTTTAATGCCCATCACTGAACCATTTCAGCTTTTAGTTTTAATTGATCTGATTAACAATTTAGACAATCAAGAATGCTGTACCATCTGAATTCCTGCCAGTCAATAAGGTAATACTGGCGAGGTCCATGTTGGGCCTGTGTTGTTGATTATTTTTCATTAGCCTTTGAGAAATTTTCATCTGTCCTTGTTTAATGGTCCACTTCATGATGTTATCATTTACCTCAAATGGGGCCTTAATGCAAATAAAATAAATACTGTTATCAATCAGAAGTATAGATTTCAGTATTTTGCATATCCACCGTGACCACTTTTATTACTGAAGAAGTCACAGAATGTACAGTAAATTCATTTGCATCTGCCTCCATGAGAAAGTTACATTTAAATATAACATAAAAAATCTTGTCGGAAAACTGAGACAAAAGCTTTTTTCTCCACTGAAATCCAAATAGCTTTCCTCTTAGTTCTAGGAAGAGGCAGATTTGTCATTTTATAAAACATAATTCTGCCTCCACTCAGAGGCCCTGTACCATTTTGCTCCCAGATTAAATACTGGTGATATTTACAATAATGAGAACAGCATTTTATAAGAGAAGGTCATCTGGCGTTCCTCGACTTGTGTCGGTTCTTTTAACATTATTATAATGCACTTGTAAAAAGGTGTTGCATTTCTACCAAGATCGTTTGCTCACAATGACCTGGTTGCATAAGTGTGCATACCCTTAAACTAATACTGGTTTTATTACAGCACTCAGTCTTTTTGGTGTAAGAGTCTCAAACATTCCAGATCCGTCAAATTGTGAGGGCCTCTCCTGTGCACAGCCCTCCTCAGGTCAGGTGGATTCAGGTCTGGGTTCTGGCTGGGTCATTCCAAAACTTTAATCTTCATGTGGTGAAGCCATTCCTTTGTTGATTTGGATGTATGCTCTGGGTCATTGTCGTTTGTAATTCCCTCCACCTTGACTAAAGCTTGAGTTCTGGCTGAAGAAAAGCAACCCTAAACCATGATGCTGCCACTACCATGCTTCATTGTGGGTATGGTGTTCTTTTGATGTGCTATGTTGTTTTGCACCAAACATACCTTTAGGTATTCTGACCTAAAAGTTCATAGTCAGTCTCATCAGACCATAACACATTTTTACACATGGTTTTGGGAGACTGGATGCATTTACATTTACTCATTTTGTAGAGGCTTTTATCCAAAGGGACAAGTGAGGGACAACACTAAAGCTTCAGTGCAGCAAGAGACCTTGGTGTAAGTTCTAAGTACTACATCTATTCAATAAGTGCAATTTATCCGGAGGTTTGGGTGCGTTTTTCTTTGTGAGAAAAGGCTTCTGTCTTGCGACTTTACCCCATAGCACAGACAGATGAAGAATACGGGAGATTGTTGTCACATGTAGGGAGCAACCAGTACTTGCTAGAAATTCTTGCTGCTCCTTTAATGTTGCTGTCGGCCCTCAGGCAGCCTCAATGACCAGTTTTCTCCTTGTCTTTTAATCAATTTTGGAGGGACGTCCTGTCCTTAGTAATGTCACTGTTGTGCCATATTTTCTCTACTCGATGATGATTGTCTTCACTGTCTTCCATGGTAAATGTAATGCCTTGGAAATTCTTTTGTACCCCTCTCCTGATTGATACTTTTCAACAGTGAGATCCCATTCATGGCCTTTGCAACTAAGAAGATGTCAAGAAAACCCTACAGGAAATGCTAAACTGGGTTAATCACAGTCACTTTAATCAATGGCAGGTATATAATACTATTTAACATGAGTTTGAGTGTGATTGGTTGATTCTCACATCTAAATATAAGAGGGTGTGCACACTTACGCAACCGGGTTATTGTAAGTTTTTCTTTTTCATAAATGGTTTCAATTTGTTTTTCACTTGAACATTATAGGTTATAGGTCACATTAAAGGTGGAAAATGTTCTAAAAATGAATCTTTCATTCTTTTACATCACAAAAACCTGTCATTTTAACAGGGATGTGTAGAGGTTTTATATCCACCTTAAGCCTGTCATTCATACAAATATGCACATGCATGCACACGGAAACTTGTCATACGGACAAACAAGGAGATTTTTGAGATTACTTCAGTCTGAGATAGAAAACAAACAACAGGAAACTGTGCAGAGTTCAAGCAGAGCTGCATTGGAAACAGACACAAGTGCACTGCAATTACAACACAGCCTGACCCAACTGTGGTCTCCATTCACATAACTAAGGCGTCGGTGCCCCGACAAATAGGCCATCTGCCTTCAGCAGCTACACAGCCATAGGACGAGGGTAAAGTGGAGTTATTTTAGCCATCGCTGCAGACACCACACAAAGCTGATGTGGAAAAAACTTTTCAGATGTACTATAGACAGCAAATAAAAAAGCCTAATTCCGTTTGCTATGAAAGTGTAAGATTGCATTGGCCATCGGAACTAAATAAGCCAGAATATTCTGCATACTCACGGCATAAGACTCAGTTTGCCTCCAGATCTTACACCTTCCCTTTTCTGAACATAGTTGGCCGGGATTGTTCCCTCACGACCTGCAGAATTTTTAGCTTTGTACCAGTTTGGATCCTGAAACACAAAATGTCAGCAATGGCTAAAATGAATAAATATTTATGTTGTAATGTAAGTAACATAACACTGAAGTCCTTCCATGTCCTTTCATATTTAGAGACAATAAGTGTCAGTGTCAAATTCACATGCATGAGAACTAAAAAGAAACACTCTATCTTTATAGGGCAGAGGTGTAGCATATGAAACGTTACCTTTGTGACGACAATGATAGTCAACACATCTCCTTTGTTAAAGGGCAGGTCCTGTTCTGATGTGCCTTTGAAGTTGTACCTGGCCACACACTCTGTGCCCTGCGGCCATGGAGTCTGTGGGGACGTGGGCAGATCCCTAATTAGTAAACAAATCACATTTTTGTTTCTCTATCTATGTTCTGACACGCAGCCCTGTTTGTCCTCTAGAGGCCTGTCTTACCTGGACCTCTGTCATGATGAGGCGGTTCGATCCTCTCACAGGTGGGGTTTTCTAGCTGCTACCATTAGAGCTGGTAAACACACACACACACACACACACACACACACACACACACACACACGCGCACACACACGCACACACACGCACACACGCACACACACGCACACACAGAGAGAGAGTACCTATGAAGAAAAAACAGAACTTACTTTAAAATATGACAAACCTCATTCAAAGGTATTCACTTAACCACAAACATATGCTCAGGAAGACAGAGAATTTGGCGTTTTGCTGTGCAGGGGTGCATAGTAATTCACAGCAAACAAGTCAGCTATTATCATATCCTTCTAGGCTGGCATACGATCAGGCAATGTCAGTAAAAATAACGTGCTAATACAGAAAGCAGAACTGACAAGTCTTCTTCTTTAAATCACACTTTCACAACTGGGGCAGAATGTTTCCGTGACGCAGAACAATAGTATCTGCATAAAGAGCGGCTTTCAGTAGAAAGATGGACCAATAACACAACTTAAAAAGACAGAAATATACTACAACATACATTTTGGAAAAATATTCTAGCTGATGAATAAAAGGAATGAAACTTCATCTGCTTTGTAGTTTTGTATTTCATATGGCAACACTGTCCATTTTGACCTAAAATGGACACACACTGGTTCTGAGCCCCAATGACTGGGCCGTGCAGGAATCATGATAGCTCTCCTCAACACTGGAATGCAAACTTGTGGTGAGATCTGACCAGGCCCAAGGGACTCATCCAGCCCAGCGCTTCTTTACGTCAGTAGAGCAGCCACTGTGACAGTAACCTTAATCACCCGAGGCAGTGTTTCCATGATACTTACACAACAAATCAGAGCAGAGGCGTCATAATGAAATGATGACCTATGGATAAAGTAATGCTTAACCCCCCCCCCCCTTCCAAAACCCTGCTTCCTCTCTTCCTGTATCAGTTCCCATGGAAAGGTGACAGGGCTCAATGGTCAGGGAAAATCCTGGCTTTGATAGCTCTCTGTCTTTACACGAGGTCACATCCTCTGACATGTCCATCACTATGAAGTCAGCTTCCTGTATGAGAGCCCAGATTTAGAATATACTCCAATATGAGGGAGGGGATCTTAGACACATGAAAAAAACAACACAATCTGCTGATTTCGTTGCCTGAACACATCATTTTAAATGCAAGTTTGTTCTCTCACAAACATTACCTTTCAGACAAAACCTTGAATAAATAACCTCTTAACAGACACCACATGTGAGACTAAAAACTCCCATGTGTCCCAGAGAGGACTGTCATCACTCAGTATGATGAGGATGTGGCACAGTCGTCCCCTATAGAGTACTGCAGCTGTCTTTCTGCATCGAGGGACAAAACTATCTGGACACATTTCCCACGCCCATCAACACAGCAGACGCCCCCACTGCGCATCCCAACCCATATTTTCTATGCTTCACTTTGACACATTCCACACTGCGCAGAAGGTCACGAGAAAAACAAGAATAAGAGTCCACAGCCACGCTTAGCAGCTTTGTGAGGCTGGAGCGATCATTGTAAAGAAAACCAAACTGTTAAATGGATAGACCAAAAATATTTTTGGCTCGTGTCATATTCAAAATGAGGTAATTTCGTCTCGTAACAGGTTTAAAATAGCTGTAAGTCACGAGTAAGTCAACCAAAGTGACTCTCTCTTTTCAAATTTTTTTGTATAAATACTTTTCTGGAGGCGTGGATTGTTAATACTACCCAGTGTTTCACAAGAAAAAAAGAATTATTTAAAATTATTAGAAAAAAAATGTTTTGCAATGTCGGCCTGGCAGTGTTGCTTGGTTCAGCACGTTGGTTAAGGCTGAATTAACAGCTATTGGATGGATTGTCATGAAATTTTGTGGAGACGTTCCTGGTGTCCAGAGGATGAATATACTTCAGTGATCACCGACCAAAGTCGTGGACCAACTGACCAAACGACACTGCCATCCCTGGAACCATGCTAGCTAAAAACTCATCTAATCTAATCTAATGTAATCTTTGAACTCCGATTTGATCCATCTCTGTATGAGTTGTAACTTGAAGCAGGAAATCACACTCATAATGCTCTGAAAATAGTAAAGCTATCAGAATTCCTGATGGCAACAGAATATGTCTGGGCAAAGTCCTCGGTGAAGGAGAAGAGTGATCTCACTAAGTGAGGAATGGATCAACTGGCCCAAGGCTGACACACACAACGGCACTTCTTAATTCATCTGTTTTGGGACAGTGAATGCATCTCAGCAGCAGGCCACCAGCAGCTGACTGGATGGGACAGAACTCAGTCTGTCATGGAGTCACATTGCCATTTCCAGAGAGCTCTACATGGAAGCACAGCTTGCCCTTTTCAGGAAGCGCACAAGGCTGCCTTTGTGAGTCAGTCGCGTTTCTGGGCTTCTGATGACCCCTGTCTCATCGAAAAGTCCATCGTCCTCGGTCTGTCCAATGAGTAGCTTTAAGCTCAGCCTCAGTTCTGCAGGGCTGGAAATACAAATTATTCTTCATATTTTACCTCGAACAAGTACAATCAACTTGCATCGACTGTTGATGTTATTATCATGAGAATTCCTCTTTAAACATAGTCCATGCTGTGTCATGCCCAACAACGGCTTGACACAGTGATTGCTGGCAGTGGATTATTACATCCGATTGAGAGATATCATCTACTACAGGAGCAGCGGTGCGTGACATAAGTTTTTGAAACAGGAAACCAGTAAGCTGAGTTACAGACTGAATCTGAATGGAGTCAGAAAAGAGCACAATCTCTTTGAAGTCCATATTTAACAAGTAACTAATAAACGGACGTGTCGCATCACTTGAAACAAATCTCATATAGCTTTGTTTGAGGTGAGAACAATTTTGCATATTCTTGGCATCCCTAACAATCACACTGTTCAAACCAGACCGGTTCATCAACATTTGGCTCTCATGCAAGTCAGTTGTAGTCTGAACTGTACAAATCAGTGGTAGCATGACTGCACGAAGCAAGACAGGACAGGAATGTAGAAATATCTTCTTTGGTCTTGTTTAAATCTGCCACTCCCTCGTCTATCTGCAGACAAAACCTGAGGTGAAAATGCTGCTACTTTTTGTAAATGCTGAGGTGAGGATATAGTGAAGTGAGGGGGACCAGAGGTGCTGTGGACGGGTTTCCAAATGTGTCAGTATCACTCGAACACACCACGGTGAACTAGTCTGTTAAAAGTTACTCTTTAGAAAAACAAGGCAACCTTCAAGCAGTTGTCCTCAGTGATTGAACAAAGTACAATTACCCCAGTACTTTACTACAGTACATTTTTGGAATACTTTTACTTACGTAGTTATATTTCAGATAAACATTAAAAAAAACAATAATCTTGGACAGTAAAATGTCTTGTTAAAGATTAAATCAGTGGCTCCACCCCTTTTTAGCTTGTGACCCCTTAAAAAACAGCATCTAGGGCCCCTTGTCACTTTTCAGATGTCTTAGATGAGATACTAGCAGTTCCACCAGGGAGACATTTCCCTATAAACTTGTCAGATTTAAATAATTGTTCACGGCATAAATTATCCAATATTTCACAATAAAAGGGAAGTTTCAAAAATGAACACAAATTTGTGTATCTAATATTTTCTTCTTCGATCAGATATATTTTATGAGCACTTGGGGGGATTTGACCTCCAGGTTGAGAACCAGTGGACTAAACTAACTACATATCTGTACATTGTTGTTGAAACTAGCTTCACCTCAAATATGTAAACAGTAAAAGGTTGCGTACATATGCATAAGTATGAACAATCTCATGGTGTCATATATGATAATATCAATCACAGGGGTCATTTTTTTATGAAACAAGTACTTCTGTGCTTTTATGTAAGTATTTTGAATGCAGGGATTTTACTTGTGCTTCAGTATTTCTACATTAATGTATCAATACTTTTACTTAAGGAAAGGCTCTGAATACGACTTCCGCCACTGGATATCCTGTAGTAGGTATGTCACAATAAACATTATGTCTGTGTTATTACAGCTCTGTACTCCTGTATGCCTCCTCCATGTGCAGCAGGGTGCCGGGGTGATCCGCCCCTCATCCTGACCCTAAAGCTTCAGGATGCTCTGCAGCTGCTTTGATGATGCTGCCCTGTTATCATCACTATTATAGCAGCAGGGTGGCAGAGCAAAGTGGAGAGTGAAGGACACAATGATTTTTGTCCATATCCACTGAGGTTTCATCGTGGTACACAAACAGAAACACTGAGTGGTGGGAAAGGAGAAATGTACAGAAGGAGAAGGACGGAGCACATGCCAACAGTTCACCCAGCTGGGCCTGACAGGCTGCAGATGTTCTCCTCGGAGGAGGAAATCACCTCTGCCTCTGGGACAACAGCTGGATTCTGGTGCTGCGATAGTGTTCGCTGAAACAACTGTGGGATCTAAGAGAGGAAGTATGAATCTAGTGGTAGGCCCTGCAGCACAAGCCATCATTGTATCACTTTAATGACTGACAGTTTTGCCTATGAGGCTCACAGGCTCATACAGAGCCTAATATTGCACCCTCTTTATCATAAATCAACATAAAACTAAACTCTGCAAAACAAGGTCGTTTCAGAGCAACAGGAAGAGAAACATCAATGGTTGTCAGTCAGGGGAGAATCCAATTTTATTTAACAACCAGGCAATACAGTAAAACTTTACATTTTAATGATATCCAAAGTTCAAACATAGTGAAGGTCTTAACGCATATGACACTTTGGGTAATTGGTGATTTTACCAAGCAAATATATCAAGAAAACACCATGCAAGGCAAAGCTGCTATGCCTGAGCAGTGGACAGACACTTCCTTGCTGCGGTGCCTTGCACACAATGCAGTGCAATGTTGCTCTGCTGATGCAGCTATGCATGACACATTACAGGGTAGCAGTTACACTTTGCTGTGGTTTCATGAGCTCTCTTCATCTTGTTTCACCAACTTAATGCTTCTTTACAGTTTTGTCACACTCTATAAGAAGAAGTTCCGATGGAGGAGGCTCGAAGACTGCCAGCACCAGACTGGTTTCAGTCTTTTTCAGAGAGTTTCTGACCAGTGAGGGAATTCCTGTCTAAGCTGCAGGGGCATCACCCTGACATAGACCCAAAAGGGCTTCAGTTCCTCTCTCTGACAAATAGAGCTTTCAGTCAACTTTTGTTTTTCTGTTTGACACTTTTGTTTTAGTGCATTGGTGGCTTTTCCAAAAGTTTTGATTAATTGTTTCCTGAGAATGACAAACTGAATGAGGAGAGGCAAAATCAAGCTGACTGGTATTAATATTCAATGAGAAACCCTCTGCAAGTCACACATTTCTGTGGGTGAAACCAGCTTAAGGGGGGCAGTAACACCTTCAAATAACTGTCAAAGATCCCAGGGTTCTGTGACAGATTAGATGCATGTGCAACATCTTTAGTCAGAAGAGTATCATGGTCATTATCTATACCATTATCTACCATGTTGTGACAGAGCTGCCTGATGTAGCTGCTGCACCACAGGAAGCCAAAGAGAGTGACCTAAATTTTGAAGGAGTACGTTAATAAGGCCAATTCTATCATGAAATCACATACTTATGAAGCCTAATTGTTTTACTGTGAAGCACTTTGAGCTGCATTCAGTGTATAAAGGTGAGTACAGGTAATCGTTTGATTATTGTGTCTTTGTCACTGAACACCTGCAGCGTCCAAACCCCAGAGCTCTTTGAAAAGCTGAATATAAGTTCATCAGAGCTTAGTCACTTTACATTGCGTTATTGATCCTCCTGAGATCAAATCTATACGTGGTGTAAAGTGAAGTAGACAAGCTGACAGGTCTACAGTTTATTTCTCAGGAAGGTTTACCACGACGCTGCAGCGCCACTGTATCTAGAAGCCATGGCCACATTTCAAAATAAAATTCTTACCTGTCTGCAGGCAAAATGGAGAGATTTAAGGCAATAACAGGTGATTCAGCTACTGGCCGACGTCCGTTTTCATGTGAGCGTAGGCAGCCAAACTACAATTCACCAAATAAATAAATAACCGTGGCTGATACCGAAGCGCAAAACACATGAAGTCCTGATGAGGAAGTGAAGACTTTCTCAGGTGACTCGAAACTTCAGCAATCCAAAAGTAATTCACTAAAACCAACCAAGACTATTGTTGTTGCGTCTCCTGTCATAATCAAGTAGTCTTAAATAAAGGAAAAAAACTGTTCTACAAACTTATCGCCGCGGTGTCGTCTGTCCCTCTGCGGGAGACGTAAAGTGGGTTGGAAAAAACGTGATAACTCACTCGGCCAAAAACTGCGGCGATGTATTATTCCCGATTCAAACTTATTTCAGTCTAGTTCAGGCTCCGTCAGAAACATTCAAGTTTTTTGCCCCACCTTGGTTTTGCAGTGCACATGCGCGTTAATGATAAACTCGCCCGGCTAAAAATAGGCTAAAAACAGGCTATCACTCAATCCATTTCAGTGAAGCTGGTTAAGGAATTTGATCATCAATGAGGCAATGTTTACAAAAACACCCACACACAAAATAAAAGCTCAGTGGGAATTTTTTTTTATTGTTTCAACCTGCACATAAGACACAAGAGGACTGCACAGTATTTTTGCACAAGAGCCTTGACAGTGAACTTCGATCCCAAAAGGAAACAGTTGTCCTGTCTACATAAAACCTCCCACTGGCTCGTTCATTTAATGCGGTTTTTACTGAATTGCAAAACGGACCTTCCATGGACTAGACCTCCTCTGCGGGTCAGACAATTTGAAACTAATTTAAATCTATCTCAGGAAGGATAACCTTTTAAACACTTCCACACAGGTGTTTTCCTGTCAAAAGGGTTTATACCAAACGGTTTCTGACTGTTCGCAATTCGTTAAGAAATAACACTATTGGTGCAGGAAATGGTATTAAGTACATAAAGCTGCCATTACAGCACAATAAGGAAGAGCCACCAAAACATGTGATTTCATGGCCCCCTGGCGGCCAAAGAGAGACAAAGCTCATCTTCACATTCAGTAACACTGTCTGACGTTTCCGAGCCAGACTTGTCTCAACAGATGTGACATAACACATCAGGCTGGAGGAATGTTGGAGAAAGGACAAAACATTTGTGCACGACAGTAACTTTCACTGAATCAGCACACAAACCCTGTGCGGACTAGTGTGCACAGAGACAATACAACACAACAAATGTAATGCAAGCATTTTTAATCCTCCTGAGATATTATCAATGCGTGGTATCAGGTGAGGACATAATACCACACCTAACACCATGTACTAAAGAGTACTGGATTTGTAGCCTCCTTGTAGTAAGTGTGTACTCTTTGAAATCAGCCTTTTCTAGACTACACTGACCTCAGTGATACAGGACTCACCTCAGAATTAAGCAAATGTTGAGGTTTGAAAGTTGCATGTCCAATAAAGGTCTGTGAACTTAACACAACTACCCCCTCTTGGAAAAAAAAAGAAAAAAAACTGTCAAGGGTTTGACTTACATTGTCAAAAAGATCTGGCATTTCAGATGCCTCTGACCCCTTTATCAAGGTCTCAAAAAGCAGCACAAAACGAGCAGCTCTTCTCTTAAATTCATTGAGTATTTCACAGTCTATGCTTTAGTTTTTACGGTCAATACCAGTAATAGTCAAATACATAAACAGGCATTCTCCTGGTCAGACTGAAACTGAAAAACTTTCTCAACAATGTCTCATCACAAAGACCCAATCTAATTGGTACATAGCAGGTACTCAGTGCAGGACGGTGCATCTTGATAATTTTTTGTGAGGTCAGATCAAGACAATTCACCCAAAAAAAATCATTTCAATCCCACATACAGAGTAATTATACTTTAGAAAATGTTAATCTTTTTTTTTCAGCCAACACAACTTTCATCAAAAAAAATGACATTCTGACCTGAAAGGTTGAAATTCACACGATCACGTAGTTTGAAACTTAAAGGACCGTACCAGTGGTTCTGAGCCCACTAATCACAAATCATTTACATTTAACATCACAAATAACCATCTGCAAACCATGCTACTATGTCTTTGAAATTTAGATGTGTTTTTTTTTTTTTTTACTGTTCCAGGCATCCATTGGCTTCTATTCATTTCTGTCTAATATGAAAATCTTTTAGAAAACTCCAAGTCTGCATTAATTCTTGTTAGTGTAACAGGAGACTTCATGTTAACTGTGGAGGATTACATAATATAGACTTTGAGTCTGTTAATTTTTATACTGTACAGTAATGAATGAAACCAATAACTATATATAACTGAAAAATACATTAAAAATGAAATTGCCTGAATTTGAATATTATCAGTAGAAATGTTAAAGATACATGATCTGTAGTTAAGGACCTGAAACTTCCAAAGACAATGGTATGGTCCTTCAGCTCATAGTCTAACTAAAATTTTTGTTAACATCTTTCCCCAAATCATCACTTGATGGGAAAATTGCTAGAGGTTTTGCAGGCTGTGGCATATTATACCACAGCCTTATTTACCATGAACAAACAAAACTTCTGACATCTGGATTCTCTTCAGTAGCTGCCCCATTCAACACTGGTTTAGTTTGACAACATCATCACTCATATAAATGACAAATATTCCACATTTGCTCCGATTAAATTTCTGGTTTATCTTAATAAAGCGTCAGACAACATTAACAAGTGCTACAAAGTATGGAAGGCTGTAAGCGAAGCCATTAGTAATGCTAACACCAGTGTCATTTTTCTGTTGTCTCATCGAGATTAATGTAATAACATTGTATTTGCATGTATTCGATGGTGGATCTGTGTTTATTCACAACATGGCTTTTGAATGACGTTAGATTACAATGACATTCAGAAGTTTTCCTCTTTAAGTCAGAGATTGTCCTATTCAATTTAAAACTGAACGTATTTTTGAATAGCCTATTTTCAAAATATCTTGTTATATCATGTAAACACAATGTTATCTATATAATTGCTGAAGCCTATCTATTTTTTCAATAAAGAAAAAGGTTTGAAGACGTTTTCCTTCTCCATTCATATACATTTAGTCCTTGTAGAACGGACTAACATACCAAACAGTGGTCCTTCCGTGTGAGGGAAAAGTCCCTTTCGCATGTTGATGAGTAAGAAACTTAAGGGATGAACTGAAAGCTGAAGCTCTCTAATATAAGGCGCCCAAACCCAAACGGTCAAGGATGGTGAAAGATTCAACTGTCATGTTAACCATTAGTTCCTTTATGCAGAGTGCAGGGGGATGACAAACTTGCACCCAAAGGGAGAATGGTACTTGATTCCAACTTCCTGGAACACCTGGCGAGGAACACCTATGTCACACAGGTAAACCCTGCCAGCTCCCTCAGCCAGGGGAAGCGGGAGGCAAAGAGAGAGGGACCACTTCGCTTCAACTGCTTGACCCTGTCCACTAACAGGAGGGTCTAAGCTGAGCACTGGTGCTCGGTTCTGGTTAGCCCAATCTGCAGCTGCTCGATACCAAGGCTGATCCATTAGGAATGTGTTCTCGTGGCAGTCCAGGCAGTTAATGATTAGGTCCACTGGGGTGTCTGGAAGGTCTGTAGAGCCAGAGAGAAAAATGTATATATCTCAAGGTACTGGTTGATCAACTATAATGCAAAATGTTAAAACAAATGTCGCGTTGATTGCTGCAAAAATAGAAGGTCAAAATAAACAAAAGTGGAAAAATATGCCCACCTTTGATACTTGACACCTGTTTGCCCCCCGTTTTGTTGAAAAGTGTGAGCTCGCTGGTGACAGAGTCGAGCATCTTGACAAAATTGGGCAGAAACAGGATGACCTCCACTTCATGATTGGACAGGTGCCGACCACAGCTGATGCCCTGAGCCCCCTGAACATGAGGGCCACACAGAAGTGCCACTGTGGGACGCTGGTGTAAATTTTTTGGAGTGAATCTGGAAGAAACATAATAAGAAAATCTAAGTTTATTTCCCCAGTTTTGTGCTCTCCAAGTGCCCACTTCAGGTGAATTCATATTTGGCATTTGAAATAAAAAGGTTCACTAATATGGAAATCCAAAATGTTCAATATTGAAATGAAAGCGACATTATGAAATAATCATATGAAAAAACATACAAAATATATGAATGCATTGTCTATTTTAATACTGTTTTATTTGTTTATTTAATATTGAACACTTAGGATCTCCACACCACCAAATAACCAACATCTACATGTCTCTGATGTTTAACTTTAACCTCTTCTCAAACTTTGACCCTGCTTACAACAATACACACTCTCTGGCATATCATGTTGTTATTTTTGAGAGCATTGTCCAAATTTTTTTTGTGTGTCTAAACCATCACATCATTCTTACCTGTTGGGCCCACCCAGCAATGTAAGTGCCATCTGACTGGCACACACTCCAGTCATTTCAAGTCTTCGCTCCAGTGAGAGACCATGACGCTCAGCAACCGTCAACAGACGCTTGTGTAGTTCATAGGATATACTGGGCACAACAAGCCCAGAGTCTGGGTGAAATAAAAGACACAAATTGTAAATTCAGGTCATTTACCCTCACTACTATTTGTTTAATTATGGTGTAGACTTACCAGTGCAGTATTCTTTGGCTCCAGGCTGTGGTACAGTAATCTGTCTGTACACAATAGGTTTGGCCTCCAGAATGTTCTCATCGTGACGGTAACGTGAAGGTGTCTGCTCTTGTGGTGTCCCACGTGACCTTGCACCGTTACGGCGCTCCGATATGTCGATCTCTGAGAAAACTGCTGCTTTGTCAAAAAGAGCCAAATTTCCTTCAAAATCAAAGTCTGTGTCCAGGCCATCATCCACGCCATCCCCAAAACACTCATCATCTCTGTGTTTCATCTGACCATTCTTCACCCCATTCTTTTTCGGTGTCACTTGGTTTGCCCCTCGACTACTAGATGACCCTGATGGGGCAGTAAATACATAATCAATCTCTACGACATATAAACCAACAGTAATATTTTGTCTTATTCTGGGTGAGAAGCACAACATTGCACTTACAGGAGTTGTGTCTTCGACGAAAACCTTTAGGCTGGCCAGGAACATCCAGATGACGCTCTCCATAGCTTTTAGAGCAGTGTTGAGGGGAGTTTACCTTCTCCACAGACCTGGGGTCACCTTTTGGGACTGCAACTGGAGCACTGCTTACCTTGGTAGATACAGAGGAGCTGTTCCTTGCATTGCCATTTTTGATATCTAAAATCTTTAGTTCCTTTATGTCAATGGCACTGCATTAAAAAAAGAAGAAAAGAGAGATTGACTGTAGTTGTGAATCAGATCAATTTGGAAAAAACAAAAAAACAAAAACAAAACATCCACGAGTAACTGTTTTAAGCTTTACCTGAATGTGACCTCGGGGACAGGACACTTGATTCCATTATGGAAAGGTTGTCTTAAGGAGATGGTTTGGCTGGACTGGTCCACAGATGATACCTCTCCTTGATAGACTCCCAGTGTTGGCCCACAGTTAATTGACACCAAACTACCCAACCAATCCGCAGCCATATCTGTACGATATTGCAAAGCAGAAGTTTTAATTAACAATTTTTGTCAGAGCAGCAAATCAATAAGATAACTTTCTGACAGTAGGACATCAGAAATACTAACTGCTCGATGTTAACGAATAGCTGTGCTAACCGACTGGCGTTAGCGTCGGCCTGTTATCCAGCTAAATTAGACGCAAACGCTCTATCTAATTAAAGACCTAAAACCTGGGGTCAACGTGTTGTACCTCTTCGGGATTGATGCGAATCAAACTCCTTAAGAACACAGATGAATAAACTGTAATATTAAGTGCTGAAAGTATATTTGTTGCTTTATTAAACTGTTAGCTTCTTAGCTTCCTAGCTTCTTGAATGGCCAAAATCTTCAGCTGCTAGCGTCTGGCTTACTACTTCCTGTTTCCGGGAGACGGCATGTTTCAAAATAAGAGTTTATACTTGTTATATTATGAACCGGAAAGTGTTCACTTACATCTAAATAAGCGAAATCTTGCACATTCATTCGGTTATCAAAAACGTGGGCTTCTACTTTTGTTTTGTTCTATTATAAAAAAGTGAGTCATATGTAACGCTTATGACAATATGAGCATTAATTGGGATGTGCACTGTTTTTGAAAGTTAGAGCAGTGCTTCTGAATAATGGTCTGACTTGCTTATGCAAAGAAACAACTTTGGATTTAGTCAGTAGCATGCAATATTTCACACTGATCTGTCGAGTATTAGTAAGCTTACAGCTATGGTACTATCTGACAACCCATCACATGCTTTCTTTACCCTTGAAGCTAAAATGAAATCTGTTAAAAACCACCTATTTAAGAACATAATCACATCAGGCATTTATTTCTCTCTCTATGTTCCAAAAGCCAATTATAATCAATTATGACTCATTTACTGTCATAAGTAATTAATCCAAGGAAAGCTATGTGTAGTATGATTACTGTTTGGGATGTGTTCTTAACAACCCATGTCAACAAACAGCCAGTCAGCAGACTTGAGTGAGATCATGTGGAGACTATCCCAGAAGTGTTAGCACATGACACACCCACTCAACTGTGTCCTGTGTAGACAGGTTACCATGGATACTCAGTTCAAGGGCTGTAGCTGAATAGCTTAAAATCAAAGCTGCTAAGCTGGGGCTTACAAGCAGAGCAGGTGGGCATTGCCAATGGACAGGAGAGGGTTTCTACAATAAGGTACCGTAAGATTAAGTTTCACTCAGTGCAGACCACAGACATCAGTTTTAGTCATAAACTGTGGTTCACTTTGACCAGACATGTTTGTATTTAGATATGGAGATATGAAGGTATAATGAACTAATCTAGATTCAAACCAATAGATTTGTAGATGACAGACCCACTGTAATAACCATGCAGTGTTAAAGCTAGTTATTTACCATCAAGCAAGCACTGGAAAACTCAAGGCACATGATCCAAGAATAGCCACACACCCTGAGCTGCCACCTTTGTGTGAAAATCTATCCTTGTCACTTGGGCAGACATGTGGGGAGATGCAGATTGTAGCCTCTCCCATACAAAGGGAAGTGATAGCTTGGATCTAGGAAGACACTCCAAAATGTTTAGACCCTCATATAGAAGTTCAAGTCCATTTTCTCTCACAGACCTCGACATGTGGGACACCAAATCCCGCCTTACAGCCCAGGTAAGACCCAGATATGCTCTTTTTGGGGTAGAACAGGTCAATCAAAGTACAGTTACATTAGAACATGTTGTTTTTCTCCTTAGACCTCAGCATGGTGCGGTATGGCAACTGTTTCTGGGTCAGGATTTCTGTCCAAAGTCAGCACAAGGTGAGGGGAGAATGTACACAGTTTTTAAGCAACAGAGACACAATAATCATCATTTCATTTTCAAGTCAGGGCAGCTGATATACTGTATCTGTTCCAGCACATCAGGCAACACCGGTGGCTTCAGACAGAATGACCCCGGTCTAAGGAGATGGCAGTCATTGTCCCGTCTGGCGCCTGAGGGTGCTACTCAGTCCTTTACTCCGTCTCCAGGGGCTGAATTACAAGCCGCCCGAGCTGAAAGTAGCTTTAGACAAGCAGAAGTGGTGCAATGGCTGCAGGATGCTCATGAGCGTATAGACAGTCAGCTGGACCGGCTGAGGGCCAGAGACGCACAGCTGAGCTACAACACAACTACTGCACAGCTACACATGAATCATAAGGTAAGTAAAACAATATTTAAATCTTTGTGGAAACAAATTCTATGCTCTATTTTTTTTTTTTTTTTGGGTGGTTTTGTAGTTTTTCTGCTTTAAATAGATGTTTGGTATTTGCCACACTTGCACCACACAGCATCCTTTCACCCTCTACTAACACAGCAGCTGTCAGAAGCAATGAGCACTCTTGAGCAGGAGAAGGAGGCAGCTGAATCATCCCAATTTGACAAGAACCAGCAATGTAGAGAGCTTCATGAAAAGTGAGTGCAACAAAAGACATGGAGAGGAACATTTGAATGACTGTAGAAAAGATTGACATTCCTCATGTGAAATTTACTCACAAGGGTCCTAAAGCTGGAGAGGGATCTGGTGCAAATGAGGTCTACTTTGGACAGAGGAAGCAATGATCAACCAACCAAAAGAACTCCTAGTTCACTTAGCCAAACATTACCAGTGAGCCAAGAAGACTTTAACAGACAGGTGTGTTAGCTTTATGTGTAATGAAAATATATGTTGTAAATATTGTATTATTCTGTGTATTCTGTTTGTCACAAACTATTTTTACATTTGTATTTAATTAAGGAGAAGCAGGAAGTTGATACAGAGCTGTGCAGGCTGAGAGAGGCTCTGAGAGAGGCTGAGACGAGGGCAAAAACACAAGAAGAAGAGCGAAATCAGGCACTCCAGCAACTCCAGACTTCAGATGAGGTCAGTTACAAAATATATGAGGGAAAAAATCAAAATCATCAAAAAATCAAAAGTCTAATGTCAAATTGTGTCATAAAAATACAAACTTATACTTCTGCAGTCAGCTGCCCTGCCATTCTCACTTCAACATATTTATACCTTTAGGCTGATTGTCTTTTGCTCCTGTGTATCTAGACACAGAGGACGCTGTTGAGTCAAATAGAGGAGATGAACCAGAGGCTCAGCCACACTGTATCAAATCACACTGAAGCGCAAGAGCAGCTGAGTGAAGCTAACAACAAAATCAGCCAAGCATGCCTGGTCAGTCTCCTGTCTCTGATTCAGTATCCAACACAATAAACATTCACATAAATAATTATTTCACCTAGAAAAGCGTCTTTCCAATTCTGCTCAGGAAAAAGCCATCCTGTCAACTCAAGTGTTAAAGCTGGAGGATAATGTGAAGGAACTGAAGGCCAAACTGACAGGGGCTCTGTCTGACAAAGATCAGCTGATCCAGGTGTCAGATATAATCTCTTCTGAGCTTTATGTACAATGTCTGAGATCAGAATGTCATGTTTTAGTAGTATGACTGTTTTTTTTGTTTTGTTTTTTTTTTTGCATCATACTTACCACCATACCATCATATGTTTTATAGGAGAAGGTAGATCTGCACCAGAGGACACAGGTCCTGGAGCTGCATCTGGAGAGAACACAACCAGGTTCAAAGGATCAGGAAACTGTTCTGATGAAGGAAGAATCAAAGGCCCTCAGAGAGGTGGAAAACTCTGAGTGGTCATCTTTTAAATTGATTAAAAAAAAGTTAAAATTTTTCTGAATTCTTCATGAAATTACCCCTGCTGTGTCTTTTCATCAGGTCAATGAAAAGCTGACATGTGAGCTTGAAATGATCAAGCAGAAGGTAGAGATCTCACAGTCTCAGCTACAGGAGCTAACAGCAGAGCAGGTCGTCAACATCAAACAGATCAGAGATCTGGAGGCCGAACGCTCTGATCTGATCACACAAAAAGAGGAACTGCTGAGCAAAACTGATGAAGGTGGTCATGAGATGAAGGAAAAGTGCTGCCAGCTAAGGTGAGATGTTAAGCACATGCTCTTTCACAGCATACTGAAGATGCAGTTTAATTATCCTCTCTTCACTAAAACCTTCAAATTATTTATCCAGGGAATCTGTGGAAGTTTTGGAACTAGAAAAACAGACACTGAAGGATCAGTGTCAGTGTCTGGAGGCTGAGCTGCTTGACAATGAGGAGAAGCTACACCTGCTGGAGGAAGAGTATCGCAAACAAGATGCAGTGAGAGTCCAACACATTGAGGAACTCAAAGCTGTGGCCTCACACTGGACTGAGAAATGGCAAAAGGTGGCTTTGACCCTGCAGTCTACACAAGAGGAGCTCGAGGAACTCAAGAAGAGCAACTCCAGAAATGAAGTAAGACTATACCTGTAGCACTCTGCTACACACCCACTGGTTTAAGGACATGTATAATAATTTGTGTCTGATGTTTTGTTTTTTCATAAAAGTTATATTATTATTTCATAAAAACATTTCAAATCACATCTCCTTCTTCTCCTTCACTGAAAAACTCCAGAAGAGATGCTCCACTGAAGTTTCCACATCACACTTTCTTTAAATTGCACATTGGACCAGGATTGGCTCCAAAAAAGTTTTGATGTCACAAAATCATATTTGTATTTCCATATGTCAAAGTCAAATTTAAGATGAGCACAGAAGAAACATCAGCAGATGAATGTGAAAGCGGTTTTAGTTTCGAACTCTGCACATAAATCATTCTGAACTGTGAATGTCAAACATCTAAGTGAAATAACAATTGACAAAACACACACATTAATTAATTGCTAGGTCACACATCATATTTTCCTACCTGGGGAAGAAATAGAGAATCTGCTGAAAAGCTTGTGCCTGTGCTCTTTCTTTCTCAGAGTTAGGGCACATGGATGTTCTAGTAGATATATATATTGGTTATACAGTATACCTATACAATTTTTCCCACAGGGGCAATGTGACTCCCTGCTCAGGGTTGAGCTTGACGCATGTAAACAGGAGCTGGAGCTGGAAAGGAGCAGAAGTCAGGCGCTGCTTCAGAGATACAAGGCTGCAGGTAAAAGTTAATATACTTGTCAGCAGTCTGTGGCAACTGCAAATATTCTCTACAAGATTACAGATGTGTGTGTTGCTGGCACACAACTCCAGAGAATAAGTGTTATTTTATTCTTTCAACACAAGGGGGCGTTAAACTGCTGTGGCCTTGTTTTTGCAGGTGGTGCAGCTGTGCGGACTAAGGGCAAAGAGACAGTGACAGAGTGAGTGGATTTTGATGAGATTTTCATTTTCAAAATGCACTGTCAGCAAATGCTCAAAATTAAATTCTGTGTTATCGTGTGTACTATATCTTTTTATCAGCTTATCAGAATCCTCTTTGTTATGGGAACCGACATCAGACTCCCACAGCAGCCAAAAGAAATCCCCTCAGGTAACAAGATGTTCCCCTCTTCAATGAAATGAATTTTCAACGCTTAATAAACAGGGGGTCATACACTAATGTATTTTTCATGTAAACATGCGTTGAGAGTAAATATTTTATGCACAGAATATTGATGGTTAACTCTCATGATTAATAGGTTTGTATACAAAGCAGTGAGGTTCAAATGCTGAAGGAAAAACTGACAGAAAGAGAGAAGGAACTGAGGGAAAAGTAAGCTTTTTTTATTTTGAACTGAACTTTCTATTAAAAGATTTAAATGGATGAATGATCAGTTGAGAATGTAACAAGTTTTCATCCGTTCTTATTAAAGGGAAGACGCTTTGATGAGTTTAGAAAGGCTAAGAGAGACGGAAAAAACTGAAGCTCAAATCCAGGTTTCTGCTCTGGAGCTCAAGGTACAGTCACTACAACCTGATCAAACTATCAATGAAATATACACATCTGTGTGAACCAGCGGCTGTGTCGAGAGGTGAATTGACTAGCTCATATACTCTCTTTGTCATCTCTGTTTTTCATGATAGCTCAGGAAAAAGGCCTCTGAAGTTAGTCAAGAAAGTGAGGGCCACACAAATGTCTCAACTACTGACTCACTAAGGACCCAGCTAGAAGGTATGACACTGCTTTTGAAAATACTTCTGATGATATTGTGTTATTTTCCTCATTGTTTCGGCTCAAAAACCTCTTCCTGTGTATGTTTTCAGAGAGCAGGAAGAAGGCGAGCCAGCTGCAGCAGGAGAAGATGCTAGCAGTCCAGAAGCTTCAAACGCGAAAGCAGCTGTACTCGGTAAAGTTCACGAAAGAGACACCACCAAAGATGGCCTCCTGCAGTGGTGACGGACATAATGAATTACAGATGCCTTGTCTGCAGGTTAAAGATGAGAAACCACCTGTTGAAGGCAGGAAGGATAAGACTGTCTGTCCGGTTAATCTAGAGACAGACCAGCAGAGGAGAATGGTCACTGAGCAGGTATCAACGTGATTTCAGTTCACCTTGTTTTATCCAGCAGCGTGGCTCTGGATGCCAATTCCAGGCTATCTATCCACCACTTTGTCAACAGCAACAACCATTAGATGGATTGGCCATAAAATTTTATAGAGACATTCATGGTCCTAAGAGCACAAATCCTACAGACTTGGTGAGGCCGACTTTACCTCTGGCGTCACCATACAGTTGATATTTGTGGTTTTGAATGAAAAGTCTCATCAACTATTGGATTGATCCCTCTCAGGATAACTTTTAAAAATTTAAGTCATCCTCTAAGTTTTTTTGTAACGGCATTTATTTAACAAATTTGGTAACAAATACCCACAAAACTAATGACATTCACATCAGCCTCAGCTAGACTTGTGGAATCTAAATACATTTACTCAAGCATTGTACTTAAGGAGGTGCGACTCCTGCAGAATTAGATCAATAACACAAAATATAATCAACAAATAAATGATGATCTTTTAGTATAGGTTAACACATAATTAATCCCTGGGAGGAACTTCACCAGCTAACTTCCAATAAATAATTAAAATTATGCCAATCAATATCAGCTGCAACATTAAAATGATGTGTGTGCACATTTATGCAGTCATAATCCAGTGATATACATTTTACTTGTAACAGAGAATTTCTACACTGTAATATTGCTACTTTTAAAGTAAAAGATCTGACAACTTCTTCCATAAAATGGTAGCATGCTAGCATAAACAAAGTCGTCAAAGGTAAGCATCACATGCTAAACATTTTCATGTTAGCATTGTCATGGTGAGCATGTTAGCATGCTTAAGATTAGCATTTAGGACAGCTGTGCTCTAACCTTTGTCTTGTTTAATACCTGTTGTAAATGACAACAAAACTTGTAATAGAAATATATTGTATCTTACCATGTTTTCAGTTGAAGAGTTTGTTCAAAGAGCGAGAAGGAAAGGAGGTGGGAAAGGTTGACAACACACCAGCAGCTGCTCAAACTAGAACCTCCTCACCTCAAGACGGGAATCCCACATCTAAAGCTGTAAGGTTAAGAATAGAAGAAAATGTAAGAATCCTGACAGCAGTGAAATGGATTACACTAACAGCCATGAACTCAAGTTGTGTGTTAATTTTCATTCAGACTGCAGTGGACAGATGGGGCTGGCAGCAGAGCTCGGGTCTGATGCCAGTGTTTGAGGAGGACGAGGAAGGCAGTGACCAGGAAACCTGGCCTGGAGAGGAGGAGGAGGAGGAGGAGGAGGAAGAGCCAGCAGGAGAGGCTCATATTGAGGAAACCTCCACAATCAGGGACACCAGGTTAGGAGTGCTTAAATTACAGAAAGTAGAGGTGTTACCAGGTTGAAAATCCATGAAGAATGTGTCCAGTTTGTCCATAGGTCCCTCAAACGTCTGAATCTTGCTGTCAAGAGCACCAGCTAAATGACTAAAACATCAACATAAACCTCAAGCCAACACATCACTCAAAAGATCCTCTATGTTTGTTTGACTGCATGCTACTAAGTTTCATAAATGATTTATCCGCATCAGCAACAGATGCAAATTAATATCATTAATGGCATAATCGTGGCACACAGATGATATCATGAAAGTAACAGAGCTATGCCCACATTGATTCATTACATATACACACACATATGTGCAGACAGCACTAATCCCAGCTTCTGCTTTAATCAAACAGCATACAGTACGTGGGGAGGGGTGTGAGCCCAGCTGCATAACCACTTAAACTCCATGTGAAACGCAGTTCAGCTATAATCTCACATATGACCCTTTCTACTGGGTAAATAATCGGATTTGGAGCTAAGGAGTGAATCGCTCGCCTGGAACACATCTGACCCAACCATAAGAGGATGGGCAAGAGTTACAGTATGACACTGTCTTCCACTGAAGGCCTGTGACCACCACTGTATGATAACAGAGAGGGAGTTCATGACATCCAGACATAGTATGAGAAAGACTGGTTCAAAGTCATTACAAATTCATAGATGTATTATACACAAATAAATGGAATTACATTTAAACATATATTGCAAATTTTGTCTTGTAAAGACTAAAGTGTTTAAAAAAGGTCTTTAATGTGAAAAATTCTTTTGACCTATTCTGGCTGCTACCAATAGAAATAAATATGAAATTGAAATAATTTAACATTTTGAAATAGGTAAATATATATACATATATATATATATATTTGGAGGCATTCAACCAAAATGAGAGGAGATCTGAAAGCATTCTCTCCTCTGCCAGATGTCAGCTAAGAATCCAGAAAACAGCTATCTGAAGGCAAAACATGAGAGTCTGCTTCAAGGTGAAAATGTGCATGAGTCAGTAGTGTAGACGTGTGTGTTATGATCTGTGCCTGTGTCGTGTTTATATTGAACCTTCAGGAGATACTACAGGATTCTTCTTTCTTTTTCTCAAACAGGGACATATACAGAAATGACCATTACTAAACTGACTCACGAATATGGAGCATTTTATTTAATAAAGCTACTTTTATCAATACTGATGACATTCATTGATGGATAAATCCCTGTTTTGAATGAATTAACCCTCTTTATCTCCCTTTGCTTTCTATCTTTTGCATGTGTAGAATACTTATTAGACTTGACATTTGGAAATATGGATCTTGGTCTAATTGTGTTTCCCTTATTTCTTTTGATGTAAGCAGTAAGGTTCAAGCTCCTAATCCAGGATCTTCACACTGCAGCAGAAAAAGTACCAGACACGTCTTCGGATGTTGAAGGGCCAATCCTAGCTCATTCTTTAGATGAGTGTGACCTGCAGAGGAGAACAACTTCCCTCTATCCTGATGGAATATTCCTGGCTCAGCTTGTGGATATCTGTAGCCCTGATGAAGATGAAGAGGAGGGAGAGGACAAATGATGTGTCTTGCATTGGGAAAGACTTGCTGTATACAAATCTGATACTGTATGTTTTTTACACAACAGAAATATAAGGACTAATTCAAATCTACAATTTAAATATAATCCTATGATAAGATGATTTTTGGCAGATGCTTTTTTTCCGTAACCAAAGATTGTGATGTTTTTGTAGCTCAGTCTAACAGAAAGCTGCTTTGTGATGGAAAATAAAGCACAACAGCAACAATCTGAGCATTTTTACGTCAGGCAATAGTGTTTATAAAAGCCACCCGGCTACGTCAGGCAAAAATGTGTTTTATTTATATGACATGATATGGTTCCTCACACCATATTTACATTCAGAATATCCTACAGCCAACAAGCTATTCCTAACGTGTCTCCAAAGAACTGTGGAATTACAGATATGCATGAGAGTATATAAAGTACATTTGTGTGTAACACATATTACTCATACATCAAATAAATGACAAAGTGTATTTTAGTCATGAGGGCTGAACTGCTTAAGGTAATATTTTACAAATACATTATTCTACAAACTCTAAGTTTACATTGCCATTTTGTGCACTTACAGTAATTTTCCATAGGAGAATTCACAGATTCATATAAATAAGGCCATGTTTAAAGAGTTTATTGCTTGGTGCTCAGAAATCCATCCATTAAAACTGCATTGTCCGTAAACATCAGCTGTGAGCACTTCATGTCAAAGTTTGTTCTGGATGCCCCACTGAGTTCACACAGAGTGTCAGGTCCACTGGTCATGAAACAGGTTTTTCAGCACATGTGTGTCAGAGCTCTATAGTGGGTCTGGTTGAACGTTGTGCCAGCGTGCCTGCTCCACCTGCAAGCTGCACATGTCCCTCCAGTGAGCACGTCCTGCATCCGCAGCCTCCGCACCGATTAACACTCGACCAAGAACTTTACCTTCTGAACGCACCTGATTCGTGAGGAAGGAGCAGACTATGAAATCCACAGGGAAGTTACAAAACAGATAAATGCTGTTATTCACAAAGCACATTCTATTCTGTAATTGTGAACTCCCAAAACAATTTTTACCTGCATGATTATGAACTCGAGCATGAGGGGCAGCTGGCTGATGTCTCCTGGAGGAAGGTCAAACAGGAATGAAGCATTCCACACAGTACATGAGCCTCCGTTAGTTTCTCTGCTGCTGATCACAGTTCCCTCATGATGCAGATTGATCACCACCCGGTATTCTGTGCACAGAAAGTGTGAAAAAAAATCTATTGTAAAATAAAAAGTAATAATAAGTAAACAGTAAAACAACACTATATGACAATGGGACAGGTCTAAAAAGTCAAGGTAGTCCTTACTTGTGTTAACATACCACAGAGACGAAAAATAGGGTCTTGTTAATTTTTGATATTGTATCAGTCTTATGTGGACCATGAAGTCACAGACTAGCACACAAGCACGTATTTTTTAATCCATCAATGTCTCTGTATTAGTTTAGTTCTGTTTTTATATCTAAAACACACAAATCACACCCCACAAGAATGTTTACACACTGTCCAGCTACAAAAACTGGATAAAAATGACAAAAGTCTCCTGTAAATATTACATTAGGTATGGTCGAGCAAAACATGGAGCTAGAATGCATAAAATAAATATCTTTTTCTCTGTCTTCAGCCAACGTAATGCAGTCCTGTCTGTACTCTATATTGTATAAATATTCATGAACAAACAAGAAGAGATTATATTATGTGACATACTGCAAATGAAACAGATATCATAAAATCGAATGGCTCTGTATGCAGGATGTGCTTGTCGGCAATAAAAATAATGCCGAGACAGGCTAATGCAAACAAAGATTAGATCTGTCAGATCAGAGATCCAGAGGAGATTGAAACATTTTCCTGAGGATTGTGAACAGTGAAGGATTAAACCACAATGTCATTATAAAAAGGGATGATCTCCTGCTGCACTCGGGTCCTGTAAGACATCATTTAATCCACAAAACATTAAAAGCAAACATAGGGAATTATTTTACCTCTGCCCCTGAAAGGCAAAAGTTAGGTCTGTCCACGCATGCTTACATAATGCTTCTATGCATGATGTCCTTATGGGATCTCTAAGTCAAGTACACATTTTGTCAAATTGTAATGACAACAAATGTCATTTTACCCAGTGCTGATGACGTGTGGATGAGCTTGTCTAGGTTGTCTGCTCTGAGGACTGAGGTTTTGATGCGGTGGGCCGGAGTCTGATACAGAAGCAAAATGAAGATCTGTGGAGGGCCGCTAAGCCCCTTACACATCGGTGCATCCTGGGAGATCAAACTCTGCAGTCGGAGGGCAGAAGTTCAAAGGGAAGAGAGGGAACCTCAATCAGGGGGAAATACAGCATGAGGATTTTTGTGTTGTAACAGACTAAAGTCACAAGCCTAATCTAAGGATTCATTCTAACAGTACTGACCACAGACATCATGCTCAGTTGTCTCTTACACAGAAAAACAAAAAACAATAACACAATACAAACAGTAACTCTAAATTTGCTGCCATTTCTTCCCTCTCTTACTTGTTTCAGCAGTTTATTTCAACTGGTAATCTCCATGCCCGGCTGGATTACTAACCAGGCACAGCTGACAACTCCTCAGGTCCCCCAACCCCTAGGCTGACTGCGTGGCTCTATATAGAACTTGAATATAGAACTTGAATGTTCATTTAAGGTCAAGCTTAAGTCCTTAAAAGGGGCCCAACAACAGATTTTTGCTCCAGGGCTTCTCAACACATTAACATGGCCATACCTGTGTCTGTCTTAAAGATAAAGTGCTCACAGATATTAATTGAAAACACCACTACCTTTTTTAGTTTCCTCCTGTTTGTGTTCAGTTCTTTTGTGAAGTGCAATGGATGCTCTGCTCTCCAGTCTTTTCCTCCACATTCAGCCTCCAGTTCCCCCAGTACGGTGCCTCTCAGGCTGTGTGCTTCCCGAGTGTATACAGCTGTTCTGAAAGTGCACCTCTGGAGCTCTTTCACAGAGCACACCTTCAGAAGCAGCACCAGGCTGTGTGGCTCAGGGCTGAGGCTTGTCTTGACGGAGGCTTGTATGGGACAGGGGTACAGAGGTGGCAGGCTGCCCAGCACAGACACGTTCTCCAGTCTGTGAGACGTCCCACTGAGGCTGAGGACGGTGACTGTCAGGGTTTGCTGCTCTGGAGAGAAGGCCATAGTGAAATGGAGGCAAGGTTTTGGTGATATTGGCTGTTTGCAGCTGGCACTGGAGCCATAGCTCAGTGGAGCTAATGGGATTTGTTCTTCAGGCATAGAAGCAGAGACAGCGCTGGGGCTGGTGAGCCTGCTGTGTTTACTATAAGATGCACTATCCCCAGTGACGGTGCAGCGTCTCTGCAGAGCCTTACATGTTTTGGATAATAGTCCCAGTTTGGGAAATGTAGGAAGAGATGCATGACTGGGATCTATGGGTTTATAAAGGGGTGACGTTAGTGGTGGTGTGCTGAGTCGGCGTAAAGAAAAATAAGACTTTGGCTGCTCCTTCCGTTCAGAGGCAGCTTGAGCTTGATTTGAAAATGGTAGAGAGGTAAATTCAAACTCAGAAGGGGCAGGGCTAGCGAATGTGGATGGATACTCCAGTATATCTCCATCCAGCTCTTCATATTGTGGCCTGGATGCTGTTGTCACTGCCGAGGGAGATGGGCTCTGGGCAAAGGCCACAGGTTCAGCAGGAGCTGGTGCTGATGTCACAGGATCTTTGTCTTTCACTGGACAAATCTGACTTTTCCTGCAGCATATAATACATCCCAGGACCAAACAGAGACAGAAGGTGATCAGTCCAACCAAAAGAAGAATTTGGAGGTGAACTGCAGACATAAGAAAGAATAAGGCCAGTCAGATGTTGGCAGTTTAGAAACTGTTGTAATTTACTCTCATGCAACTCCTGGATTACATAACACAGTACATGAACTATTTTAGCCCCTTTGCCTGAGAGCATAGACCTCATACTTCATGTTTAAATACTCATTTTTTTCAAGTCTGTCTTAAAACAATATTCTCGTGCCTATATGTACATTGAAAAAGTAATGTCCTGTTGAAGGTGAGACCCCCATCCACAGTCCTTGATCTGTGTAAAAGTGAATCATATGGTAAGACTTCAGTCTGAGTTAGTCATATGAGATGATTATCTTCTAAAGCGATTCAAGATCACTTTACAGTCAGTATGGACAGGAGGAATGATTGCAGTGACCAGTAACTCTTTTAAAGTACTCATAGGCATATGAGTATTGTTTTAGACTTGAAAAACATGAACCTATCCATCAAGACCGTACCTTCTAGTTGTTTGGTAAAGAGAACCTGCACCAGGAGCCAGAAGAAGAGTATGACCATGATGCCCTCAATCATACCCTTACAGCAGAAGAGCAGCACAGACTGCCAGAGAGGCTGACCTGGGTACTCTTCATCATGATAAGGCATGGTGCCAACAGGGAGTTAACAGTCTGCAGAAGGCGTTCCTAAAGAAATGTCCACAGAAGCACTGAGGTCCCAGTAAAGAAGATCATTGGCTTGACGGATGAAAACACATTCCGGCTTTCAGTGTCGGTGATATGTCCCTTTCTGCTTTAGAGGATCCGTCAAACCCATTGTTTTGAAAAGCCAAAGGCACGAAACATCCATATCCCATTAAAACATCCTGAATATGAATCACAAGTTTCAGGTATGAGCAACAAAATAATCAACAACACCTGCACATTACATGATGACACCAGATTCCATAAAAGAGAGCTGTTACTTCCACGAGTTATATTCAAGCAGTCTTTAACAGCTGTAGGTCTAGTTCCCAGTTCAAAGCTGGAAAATCATCCTTCTATCCTAACTTTCTACATATAGAGCATCCCAGTCTTCATCCCAGGACAGTGATCCCCTCATCTGCAGTGTGACTCGAATGATATTATGCCTCCCTGGCTGGCGGGGAGCGTGGGCGGAGATATCCATCTCGTAATACCTCTGAATTGTGCCTGTAGCATCTTTCTTCTACACTGTTCCAGATGCCAATCCAGCAATGTCACTATAGAAAAACTATCCCAACAGTAAATCCTGCAACCCATCCCCCGTCCTCATCCCCTGACCCATGAGCTCTTATCTCCATTAGTCTAGCTTCTACATTTGGTCTGTCACTTATGTAGCAATTACAAACAAATTAATTGACAAGTAAACCCAGGGCAGCAGAGTTAACCTCTCAATTGTTCATTGTGAAAGTATTGAGAACAGAGACATCAAAGGGATGATAAAGTGGAAATACTGAAAAATGCACATATTTATGGATGTATAAAACCCCGAGCAGACTGAATTAGTCTGTGGGTCTTTTACAGAGGAGGAAATGCTGCCCCCATCTGGCCACTCGCGTATGTATTCTTTTCATTTTTGTTTGTACTTTTCAGTGGTTGAGGAACTATTCAGATCCTTTACTTAAAATAGTTGTAATACTGCAATATAAAAAAGCTTCCTTCCAAGAAATAGTTCTGAAAAGTAAAGGTGCATGAGTATCATTAGTTCTCACAATGCAAAAAATGGTCCTTTTGAGTGTTATACTATTACATATTGTATTGCTGGATTATTATTACTGATGCAAGGATGTGTAGTATTTTAAGGTTGTAGTTGGTCAAGATGCCACTAATTTAAACAGTTCTATGGGGGCAGGGCTAGCGAATGTGGAGGGATACTCCAATATATCTCCATATATCTCCTCCAAAGAACAGAGTCACGAACAGAGTCACAAACACAGCACTCACGATTGCTTTATTTATCATGGCCACATGTCCAAGAAATATGTTAATCAAAGACCAAAACAGAGTTTAACATCAATCTGGATTTTTTACAGATGTCAAGTTCATAGTGACATTTGTTTGCAATGATATGTCTACTTGATTGTCCACATACAGTATATTTCAGCAGATGGCTAAATCAACACATGCTGCATTAAGTATTGCATATTTCTCTAGAAGAGTGAGGTAGCACTGTTTCAGTGTTCACTTGTCAAAAGCCTGAGGTCATTAACGATACATTCTCTGCGTTTATACAAATACAACAGATAGAGTCGAACAGTGATGAGTCCAGAGGACATTCCTGAGTCCAGAAGAAATTCCCAAGGAAGTTACCAATATGGGAATTCAAATGAGGTAAATGTTGTATCACTTCTCTCTTAAATATTGTCCCCCTCAGAAACCTTATGTCTAAAATTTTGCCTTTGATTCAAAACTGACAAGAAACAAATGTTTTGCACTTTACAGGCTCCGCCAAATGATTAAATAAAACATTTTAAGAAGAAAAAAAATAAAACAGTATAAAACATAAAAATTAAAAATTAAAAAATCCAACAAACCTACAACAAAATTCTTTTAAATTCCATTTGATTCTTTAGGAGACACAACTTCTGGAAACTGATTATGTACATAATCCCTGAAAGCTGCTAGGAAAAGTATAAACTAATGTTTCACTCAAATTGAACCAAATTTTTACCAGCAGGGATTAAAAAAAAAAAAGTGGCTTCAGCAAAAACCGTTACAGACAAAGCTATGACACTAAGCTATGGCTTTTTGGTCTTCATTAGCTGCACTCTAGCAACCGCAATGTTTTACTGACGACTATGGAAAAAGGCAGCTACAGACCTGTTTGATAATTAACTATAAATGTAGCTGATACCCAAAAAACTTGGCATTGGTTCTCACTGTGCACTTTTCTGCTCTAAAGACACTTCTGAACATACTATAAAGCCTTTTACACATTAATGGGGCTACATTTAACAAAAGTGTCTGACAGGCACTAAGGTAAACTGTGATCTGAATCTACATTATAGTCAGTTTGTAAGCCTTTGAGGTAAAATAACAATGTCCTTTTGACAAGAATCATGTAAAGCATATTACGCTCTCAAAGTAATGGAAAAAACAGAATGGCTTCATGTGTTGCAGCTGATTTTCCCTACAGTTTATATAGTTCTTGTCTGACAAGAGAGGAATATTGTGTAATCATTTTGCTCAGAACAGATTTAAAAGCCAGTGAGCCTTAATTTGGTCCCTTTGAGGAGGTGGAAGAGGAAGAGGAGGGACTGTGTGAGGAGGAGAGGGCACTGAAACCACTCGTTCCTGCCAGAGTTACAGCCTGTGAAGCCACAGGAGCAGCTGACTTCTGGGCAAACAGTGTTCCTACAGAGCAAAGATCACATAAAGGATCAGTATATGATTGGATTGTTATATTTACACAAATTACACATTTCAAGGTAAAGTTGAGTGTAGACGTTGCACACAGTGCTCAGTAAACAGAGGAATGGAAGTATATCATTATAACACTACAACAGAGAAACAAGCTGGTACAAAAAACAGATGCAAAAGACAGTAAACTACAGTAGTAGACTGATACCATCCTCATGTCTTTACACTACATACAATGCTACATACAAATCTGCAGCCAGCAGGCGATTATTAGCTTAGCTTAGCAGAAAGACTGGAAACAGGGCAACAAAAAAAATCTGGGCGCCGCCAAAGCTCATTAAAATCAGTGTGTTGTTTTTACACTTCAGTCTTTGTAGTGATTAAACAAACAGGATATAGTGTGTTAAGTAGTCAGCTTTAGAGGTGCTGGTAGGCAGATTTTTTTTTTCATTTGACAGGGCCAGGTTAGATGTTTCCCTGTCTCCAATCTTTAGGCTAAGCTATGTTATCCACTTGTTAGGAAGCTCATGTCTGTTTTCTCATCTAATCTCATCTCTTGGTAAGAAAGAAACATATCTCCCAATATGTTTAACTTTTCTTTTAAGTACTATAAGACAATAAACTGAGATTCTAGTTATCTACTTATTAAATACAGAGTGATGAATAGTAAAGTGCAATCTCATAAGAATGTACATCTTTTTCACAATATACTATACAATAAAATTGACAAAAAAACATAAGTATATATGTGTAAACAAGTAAATTATGTGATTTAATTTAAAAATATAAAAATATAAAAATACAAATTTCCTAACTGCTTATTTTCTTCTTTCAAAGAAAAAAAAACACAGGAAGGCAAAATCATGTTTCCCTTTAAAATGGAAAGACTTACCTGAATAAATAGTACCGTTGACCTCCACAGATACACTGATACTGGCTGCTCCGTTAGTGGAGATACTCAGAGACAAATCCTGTTTGCTCTCTGTGGGAGAACAACAAACAACAATTCAAATTAATGCGACTTTTCCTACGATCATGTTTAGTAATTATAAGGTCGGTAAAGTAAAGGCAACTCACCACGTGCATTGTTGAGCTTGAGGTTCACTGGGTTGAAGTGAGAGGCCATGGCCAAGAGGTTTTGTTGGAGGGCCTGCTGCATGAGGCGCTGCTGCTCCTCCGCCAGCTGCATCATTTTCTTCTCTGGAGTGTTGGCTGGAGCTCCTCCCACTCCTCGCTCCAGCCTCTCTCTGAGATGCTCTAATGTGGCAGCTTGTGCCAGCTGCTGCTGCCCCAGTGCCAGAGCCATGGGCAGCCGGCTGGGTACTGCAGGGGTGGGGGTCTCATCTGATTGGAAAAAATGTGAAAATCATTAGAAATGTCATGGCAGTTTCCCTTTAGATAAAATGGTAGCAGTTCATAATATATCCGAAAAATAATCCTACCTATGTATCTTGCATTAATAATGAAAACAAAAATAAATGTCATTATCAATCTGCTAAATGTGCAGGGAGATTTAAACCGCTCTAGGTCAAGTATCCTACGGCCACCTGGTTTACCACAGGGCAGCCACAGTAATGGAGGCAGGGTAGCACTTTTATGGCTCAATACGATACGACTTTACAAGTAAAATAGTTAAACAGTAGCTGCTTTAAGAGTCCAGTAAGTGTTGTCTAATGTCTTGCTATAAAACAATATGGAATCTGAGCTGGTTGTAATGGTGATCTAAGGAACACCAGGTTTTTTCTTTGAGACAACAAGATGAAGAATTTTCTAAATAAACGGATACCAACACTCAATCCAAGTAAGGTCATACCTGTGTTTCTCTTTAGATTTGGACTATGTATGGATGTATTCAGGCCATTGTGTGTGATCGGGGTGGTTTGCATCGTGGGAGAAGAGAGGAGGGCGTGTGGGGCGGAGCTCGGGGAGGGGGGGAAGCGGTACAGGCTGTTGGTGTAGCTGGGTCGTCGACCTTCTCTGCGGTTGCTGTCGATGGCAGCCTGCAGCTCACCAGGAGAACTCAGGCCCTTCTTCTCACACTCGAATGGGTACAGGTACTTCATATACCTAGCAAGGAAAAGTTTCAGTGTTAAAGATTTTAAGCATTTAACAGATCCTCTTTAAACTAGATTTACAAACTTGTTGCATTTAATACATTAGAAATTCCTTAATCTTTGTAGAACAATAAATGAAAAACGATCTTGTACTTGTGCTGCACCAAGCATGTGGGTTTGAAATCTAACAAAGAGGGTAAAATCTGACATTTCCAAATTACTGTCACATGTAGACCTGCACACATAATGAAAACAATTCCAAACTAACCCAAAAGAATGTGTGTTTCATTTCTATAAATGAATGAATGTGTATGATTGATGAAATGATTATTGGAAAATTTTGCTCAGTGATTTAAATGTATCCATTCGTAATTAGTAATATTCCATTATTTAAAAGGATTACAAATCTGACAGCAAGCACTGTACTAACTACCAGATTATGAACTATCTTTTCAAAACATCTTTATACTAAAGGCTGAAAATATAATATTATTATTAAATCTATAAATGTAATAACGTGCTGGATACTGTAATGCATTACTTCATAAAGGGTGCATCACATATAACAGATGAGCAGACGGTTATTCCATTATCAGTGACTCTACTTATTCATTCTGAAGCTCCTTTTATTCCTCTGAGCTACAACATCGCGAGCTTTTCTGTTTCAAATCTGAGAGACACCTACTGGGTGCGGAGGGTGAAAGCGGCACTGGTGATCGACGTGGGGAGGTTGAGACCTTTGGTGATTTCCCTCCAGATCTTCTTGTTAATAACTTCCACCAGGCCTCCCTTCTCTGTCACGAGCTTATAAAGTCTGTACAGGTCCAGCACCTGCTTCGCCATGATGGGGATGCGGTTCACAGGAGTTCCTGAATAAATGGGAGAATGTACACAACGAAATGTAGCGACGTTCTTTGATTTGTACTAGTTCGAGTGGTCTTCTAAAGGAAAGAGGAGGACGTGGAGGACATACTCTGATCTTCCCTCCTGAAGGCCCTGAGGTTAATGTTAGATAATATGGCTTAGCATGTACAATCTGCATGAGTAGACTGGACTAATGAAGCTTATTTCAGATGGATGGGGGTGGGGATTCCACAACGGCAGATTTGTTGCTGCATTTATTGGACAGCAGGGGGAGGAGTGATTTTAGAGTCAGCAGTGTCTGTCAATCACCGGGATGACATATCACCCCTTCAATCCCGATTAGGAGAAAAGCCAATTATTGAAGGAGGCTAAAAAGCAGTTGTAAAAATAAGATTAGTTTGTTCTTAGGATAACACGTGCCACAAACAAACATTTGACATGGCCGTGAACCCTGCCCACATGAGTAAAGATTGCTGACAGTGTCCTGCTGCATCTACCTTTGTTTGACTGGGATCTGTTCATGTTAGAAAAAGCCAAACCAAGCTGGAAATGTTTCTTTAACAAACTCAGCAGTACCAAACAACTATATGGTAAAAGCTGCTGTTTAAAAGACAGCATAAATATATTTATCTAATAAAGAGTATTGCAATAGCATTTTTATTGTTAGATGTGGTTTATGATAGAGAATGTCATGTTTAGAGTTTTTATCCAAATCTTCTTATTAAAACCTGAGTGTTATGTATCTTATAGCTTTACATGACATTACAAATAATAGTAAGGATCACGAGTTATACTAATTTTGCCAAAGCACCTCAATTAAATAAATACTTTACACAGATATATTATTGTATGTTTTGTTTGCTTGGTGTGACTAGTACAACCTGCAGGACCAATCATTCAACATGCACAACTTGGCGTTTGCTTACATGCCGTTGTGGACCAAAAAAAACTTTTGATTTTTATCAAAATGATAATACAATTAGTGTCCATCATGTAACATTAATGTACAAGCCTACAGCTAATTTATGAAGCCAGTTTTAATATATATCATTTGGCATTTTAAAATCTAAATCTTTTTCATTTTAGGCACCTGCATTTATTTTGTTAATATTATAATCTAATTTTAATCAGTCAGTCAATAAGTTTTCTGGGGTATTTAAAACCATGTGTTTAAATCCTTTATTACAATTCAAGCATGTCTCAGAATTCAGTTACACAGTAAACTGTGATCGATTGATAAGATGGTATCAATAAACTTATATATTTCAATGCATTTCTAAATATTTATCATATTAACCTGTTAGATTTTCATTTTATTCCAAAAAAAAAATAAGTCAATTAAGCCTAAAGGCAACCTCTTTTCAGCTTGTCCAAAGATCAGTAAACTCTGACAAGCGGTTTATGACTCAGGGTTTAGTGCTAACGTGCAATGCTATGTTCACTTGCAGTTGAAATTGAATTACACACAACACAAATCCCTGATAAGGAACTGAAAAGAACAGTGACACCACTTATGAACATCGATCAGAGCTTCCAAGGCCATGAAGAGAAACAGAATAAGGATGTATGAAATCGACATGGAGTCTCACCTCGTTTCTGCATAAAGACAAAGAGTTCATCAAGAAATTCCTTCCGCTGTGGTTCATTATCCAGCTCATAAAGCTGTAAATCAAAAACACACACACAAAAAGAAAAAAAAAAAAGAACATCAAGCAAACAAGCTAATCAACGTTTATTCTGTGATTATCTCTGGAATTTTTTTGTTTATGAACATCTACCAAATCTACTGACCTTGGCAAAATCTCTGGATGGTTCTCCTCTTAATTTTCCTCCGTCAGTCTCCTCAGCCCAGATGGCACTTCCTCTCTGTGAATACACCCACAGAGAGAAACATCAGTCAGCAGCTTGTCTGATTTTTATGATGAATTTAATAAGGACGATAGAGCAAAAAAAAAAAAACTAACATGTTTATGAGCTATTTTACCATTGCTTATTTCAGACCAAAAATGAATGTACATAGGATACTGGTGTTACTTTATATAGTGACTGCCAGACATGCAATGTATAGAGACACAGGATTTTTAAAATGGGATGTTGTACCCGTCATGAGATACCATTTCTATTTAAAGCCCCTCTCTATATATGTGTCACATTTTCCTCAAGGTCCCTGGACTTTGTGCTTTCCACCTCCCGTGTCCAAACCTGCTTTTTTCCCAGCACTGAACCCACTATCAGAGTGTCCTGCAGTAAACAGCTGCGCACAGCAAAATGGACATTAATGAAAGGCCCCATGCTCATTAGGTAGTTTAAAGTGACATGTTATTCTTCCATCACCTCCCCCTTACCAAGACAGTTGAAGGTTAAAAATGTCAGTGGTGGAGGGGAGTGTGTGTGCAACTGTGTGGAAAAGCCTGCTGAGAGGTTATTGTCCCACGAACGCGCATGAGGAGCTGCATGATGATGCAAGTTTGAAAATCAAACATGATGGGTATAAAGTCTGATGAAAGGTCTGTCATTACAATTATAGTGAGTAGATGATGTGTTTTTCTAGTATCCATTTTATCTGTACTGAAAACTGACATTACATTTAATTTATTTAAGGACTGTTGTTGACACAGTTGCCTCTTGTGAAATGTTTGCTTTCCTCTTGGATATCTGTTGCTGGTTTGCTTTCTGTAGGCGTATAAAGGGCATTGCTTACATGTCTTTCAGTTCATGCTCATGTTTTATATCAAAACAAGCATGTGTATTTTAGACAACAAAGCATGTTTTCCTTTTTGACAGGATCAGATGCTTCAGTTATCATGCTTGAGGTTAATAAAAATAATGGACCATTTATGTCTTTCCCTGTTTTGCCTCATACAGATTTCGCTTGATATTTGGATTTAAATTAATCATTTTGTTCTTTAAACACATGATCACATTCACTAAATGTTTGGCATGGCAGCCTGATCAAAGCTGTGGCTTGGATTAACAATAACTTTTCAGTCTTTAAGCCATGTATGGGGTTCCAGTCCAGCTGTACCTCTCTTCCTTTAATGCTCAGGATATAGAAGAAGCTGAACTTTGATTGTAAAACCAATATGTTGTTTTAAAAAAAAAGTCCAGTAGCACCTTTTTCTTCTGTGGAATCTAAGTTGGATGTTGACAGGTGCCTGATGAGTCTGTTTTGTCGATCGTTTATTGCATTGATTGTTATTTTTTTGTGTATTTGCTGGTATGGTTCAATAAACAGAAAAATGCACTAACAAAGGTGATCAAGGGCTGTAGCAGTGCGACTGCTACTCTACATAAAAGTCTCTCTGACTTGTACAACAAACTGGTGTAAAAGAAAACCGAATCCATCCTGCCTGACAGCACCCACCCCCTGCACCTAGAGCTTCAGATATTGACTTCAGGTTCGTACTTCAAATACAACAGATACAAACACACCCTTCGTACCCTCAGCCATTTCACTGCTAAACTCCAATAGAAAAAGGTCAAATCAGCTTGACCGCCCAACCATGCTTTTGATTTTAGTAGAACTTAAATATAAGAGTATTTTTATACCCTAGGTTTTTTACTTTTATTATACTGTATTTAATTGTGTTGTGTATTTTGATCTTGTGTTGTTACTGCTGCACAATCAATGGCCCCCTCTGGAGACAAATGCCATTCGACTTGACTCATGTTTATAGTAAAAACACAATTCAAACTGCAAATGCTGGCGAACAATCAACAGCTGCGCGACAGTGTGAAGTGGCTCCTTACCATTGTTGTCGGATGTGCCCCCACAGCCGCAGTTCATTGGAACCGATTTAGATGTTGTTTAAAACTAATAATAAAGAGAGACTTTTTTTGACCCGACAACAACATATAGTGGGGTTGCTTTTTCAGCAATAATAAATGTATGATATCGTCATAGTAATCTTTTATCCGTTTAACTCAGTGTTAAGCTGGACATTTTAACCTTTTCTCCATTACTCTTAGCTAACATTAGCCTGTCTATTTCAACCTTTTATTCATAATTTAAATGTTTATCTATTGCAAGACTTATCCCTTATGTTTAGGTATTTTAACCATTTATCTATCACTTTTAGCTAACTATTTAGCTTCTCAATCTTTACTGCAGAGGCTGCGGTACAAGTGCGGCCTGGTTGGGCATCGCTGTTGTAGGGGACACCTGTAAACAACAACTCTCCTTCTGGAAAATTATTTTCTATTCCTCTGTTTCTATTTGTAAAGAGCTGTTGACACATCTAATAGCTTTAGCTTACAATCAATAAAAAAAAAGGACTACTCCTGCAGCAGCCTACTGGTGTGATGGTAGATAAACATCCCGGTCTTTTCACCATCAAATAGAAATAAAACCCATCCCCCCTTATTGATGAGCAAGTGAGACCTACTGTGGCTCTATTAACAAAGAGCTTTCAGTTAATTGCTCACAGAGCTTTCACACATCCAGCCCTGGGATTCCTGATAGCATTCAGTATGTAGGTCAGGAAAAGGTTTCTTTTGTTTCGATAAAAAAGGCTGGTTTTTATTAGGTTTTTAGATTATTTTATGTATTTAAATGACAAATTATAAGGTTCATTTGTATTACCACATAAAAGTAGTTCTGTGTGTGAACAGTGTAAAGTAAAAAAAAAGAAGAAAATGAATCAATCTTCATTTGGAAAAGTCCCATTAAAATAGTCAAAGCACTAATACTATCAGAAACTACTTCTTATAATGAGCTTCATTAAAATCATTGAGCTGCTCCAGCAGAGCAACAGTGAAAACCTATCCCTCACCAAATTTCAATGTAACAGCAGGGGGGACCAAATTTTTAATCCAAATCAAATTATTGGACCTTAAGTCACCCGAATAAGTCAAGATCATTTATCTGGCCCCTTGCTGTGCTGGGAGCTGGGGCTGAAAGCAGACATTGGATCTTTGTCCCCACCCATGCTAAAGGCTTTTACAGTGAGGCCACACGCAAGGAGTGAACAATGGCTGTCCAGCATAGCAAAGCTTGTACAGCAGGTCCCCCACTAACTACAGATGTCTGGTTGACAAAATGAGTGAAAGAGAAAGGAAAGTAGGTTCGGAAGTGAGCGACAATTCAGACAAGGAAACAAGTAAAACATCACAACTATTTTAACCAGCCACAAATGAACTTGCAGAAAATCCCAGTTCAGCCTATTTGTAACAAAGTGAACGTATTTAAATGCATGTCACATAAAATAGCTTTGTTATAAAAGGATGTTGAAAAGCTGAAAAGGGGCCCTGTTATGAAATTCAATTTAAAAAAATACAAGCATTAATCGAAAGGGTAGTTAAAGTACAAGCATGTTTAATCTATTCTCTGCTTACAGCCTGCAGACTAAGCTTGCTAAACTCAATGATAAGGCTAATTAAGTCTAATAAGTCTATTTATATTTAAGTCTCACTTTGATGTAACGGTTAACAGGATTAATTGAAATACCAAGAGCATCCAAAGAAGAGACTTCATATGAAGCTGTTCACAAATCTTGAGGCACACAGGTCACAGCAGAAACATCACCTGCTATTTGTTCAATTAGAGTTCAAGTAACACCTGAGCTGTTTCTGGTGATTTGGGCGAACTGAAATTAAAATGAAAAGTCTTACATCTCATTATTGTGCTCGTTGAAATGTTTTTAATGCATTCAAGGTTCTTTGTGCTGCACTGAGAAAAAAGAAACACATCCCCGCTGCAGTGGCCATATAATGTATTGATTACTTGCAGCTAAATTAACTTGCCATTTAGTGTTGCCAAGCGACAGCTAAATTATGCAAAGATATCCACTGAGCTGCAGCTACATCAGCACTGTGTTTTCTGACCTTGTTGAGATTTTAACAGAGGCTGATGACCACCTAACTTTTTGTATGTTCATGGATCTTCACTTTTAACCAACAATCAGGCAATAAAAGGCAAAGAAAACATAAGAAAATATTCAACATCTCTAAATAATCAACAAGAGATGTGTAAACTCTCGATAACAAATACCAAAAGCCCATTCTGCTCCACTGAAACTACTGTAAGTAAACTTTATGGGTAGTTGCTTGCTGGTATGCTGTGAGGCACTAACCCAGCCGTCCCTCTGCCCACAGGCCTCATTAATCATAATGTATTGTATTGAGGTGGGGCCTTTTCAAGGGAAACATACACACAGAAGAACCAATCAGATCAGCCCCAGTAAAGAGAAAAAAAAAATCCCACGAGGAGACCCTCTGTTTCCTATAAGTAGTTAAACATATCTGCTGGGAAACATGCTCGTAAATACTGGCTTCGGGTGTCATGCTTAATACATTCTTTTTACATGCTTAAAGGAGACGTGGCTGATAAAAAAGAGGAAAAAATCTTCAACCCTATCCAGCAATTCCTTATTCTAGTTAACCCTCAAAGCCAACCCTGTCCTTAAATACATACTTGAGGCCGTTTCATTAATCCTCTGCTCTCAGTTTAACTCCATCTCTGTCAGTCCTTAACCAGCTGCTTTGAACAGTTAGGTTTGGACCACAGCCAAGACCAATTAACTCAGGCGATGTCGAGAACACTTCTTCGAAAGTGTGAGACATGAGGTGAAGTATGGAAGAAGGCGAGATCTCTGGCCTGGACGGTAATTAAACGCTATCAAGTTTGGGCATCTTGCCAAAAGAATATGCTCTTTCCTCCACATGAGAGAGAGCAGCAGGCAGACCAGGCAGCACTGAGCTTGACTCACAGCAGGAAGAAAGAAGACATTGGATCATAATAAGAGGCAGAACACACACAAACTGAAGAGGAGAGTCACAGACGTTCATCTGCTCTTTGTAAAGATTAAATGAGGCTCTGGCTACTGAACAATGTTCCTATTATCTAGACAATATATCCAAGAGAGGACCGAGATATTACAATGGATTTTATGCATCTGTAATTTATGAACAAAAATTTCCTAAAGTTTGATCTAAAACACATAAAAGAAACACGATACAACCCTTGATTGTGAAATTCTAATTTAAAATAACTTACTTGTTTAAAGGGCTCGTCATAGCCCCAGTCAGTGAAGCCATTGGGTGATGTGAAGGCGTGTTGTCCTGCAGGAGACAGCAGGTCCTTATCTTCATGCTCCTGTTTTATTGCTGGAGCTGGAGATTCAGACATTTGCTCCACAGCAGTTGATTGAGATGTGGAATAAGGAGGGAAGGGGAAGCCAGGAAGCTGCTGGAGTCTAGGCTTCTTCACCTGCTGATGAGGCCCATTCTCCTCCTCCTCCTCCTCCTCCTCATCATCATCATCTTCCTCCATCTCATTGTTCTCCACCATCTCCTGTTCCTCCTCATCCGTGTCTTCATCTTCTTCACCCGGATCCATTCTGCTGAGACGGGTGCTCAAAGCTTGTTGAGCATCTTGATATGTCTGTCCATCCGCTTTACCAAATAATGCAGGGTTCAGTCTGGAGCCAGAGGCTCTGGCTGCAGCAGCATGCTGAGCAAACAGGAGCTGAGCTTGAAGAAGATGTTTCTCTTGCAGGTTCATCTCCAGTTTGGCTTCTTGTTGTCTCTGCAGCTGCTCCATCACCGCCTCCAGCTTCACCCCAGCAGGACTGGACTGAGGACACCCAGCTGAACTGCCCTCGTCAGATAAGACTGACTATGGACAAAATACAAAAATCACCACAGGAGGAATTTCAGTGAGAAAATGTCCTATATCACTTCAGTTGACAGTTTGATTAGGCGTTTGTGCTTCCCTATGCTGCAGCAAACAACCCAAGCTTATAAATAATGGAAACTGCATTCAACAAGTACAAAAAGGCTAAAGGAAGCAAATTAAACTTTTACCAAACTGTTGTTTAAATATGTTGTCTGAATAAGCTAATAGGCCAGTTGTTTTGGATGCAAACAAAGATTCAAATGAACCTGAAACTGTCTGGGCCTCTGGGAGCACATTAACACAAAATGCATTGATTTAGGTGACAATAAATTAGTAGCAGGACACAAATGTTTCTCACGAAGATTTTCCGTGTCTCTCTCTTCATGAAAAGGTACCTCAGTAAACAAAAGAAAGAAAGAGCTCACGATACAAATCGATTTTTCGGTTTTATAAATGGAAAATCAACTTTATTTCAAAGTGCAGATAAATGCAGACGTAACGCCTGCTTCGATAAATATGAAAAAAATGTAAACTCATCAACAAACGGCAAAGAAAACCTCATGGTAAAAGTGCAAATGTTCTTAATTACGTCCACATTTATCGTCATTTGCTTTGTTACTGTAACAAACACGAGTGGGAGCGTTAGCCAACAGTCGTCGACACTCACCATTTGCGCCTTTGAGTAATCCATCATCGCCAACAGGTCTTGTCTAGTTTTTCCTTCTTTCCTCCGGCAGAAACAAATCGCGTCGCATGACCAGTTTCTTTTTTTTTGAAGACAGAAAAAGGTTCTTCTGATCAAATGTGATTTAAAAGCCCCTGTGGTGTGGAGGCCGTAATGATCGGAGCAGGAGGAGGAGGGGTGAATAATGCTCTGCGCTTTTCCTCCCTGGTCACTGCGCATGGAAACTCAAACATCTTTGATTGTCTTTGGCTGAGTGGCCTACACCCCCAACTTGGATGAATGAAAGGCCCGCCCCGTGCGTAGAGCTCGTAAAGTGGGTTTTCTTACCCACATCTCTCTACAACTACCCGCCCACTTCACAAAGAACCCCCGGCCCCCTAAAGCTGAAACCACTGCTATTATTCTACACATTTATGTGTTTATTACGGCAACACGACCTCCGCCCAAATATGTCGACACCATTTTTTAGCCCGGAGCTCCTTCACCCAATTGCAAATGGATGTGACCTTTATGTGTTCTACTTTCCTTTTACTTCACCGTGAAATTCGTTGCGTTTCACAGTAGAAATAAGCGTGGAAATTAATTCTGTCGGTACAGTCACGGTTTATGAGTCATTGTTCTTTTATTTCCTTTTGACCAGGATCAAATAATCTGAAAATAAAGTACATATGCTTGCAGACAAAATGTGAATGGCCTTAGGCCGACTGAGGTCATGTTTCACCTGAAGTCATATTTTCAGTGAATTCTCCAAAGGGTCCACGATTTATTTGGGCCCATCATATGAATGTGTGTGCTGCGGTCTGACTAACTTGGTGGTTTGCATCAAGTCCAAACAGCAGACAGGTTTATCCTGACTGTTTGTTGGCCGATAAACCAACTTTAACTTTAAATCGTGGCACCTTGATGAATATCTCATGTGCTACTCTTCTGAGCAGTCACATACCACATGTGATAAAGTGCCTTCCTGGGAATCAGTGTTTACAGTTCCTCACACCCTTCTTTAAACAGCCCGAGGCAGATGCAGCTGACATGAGCTACTGTTTTCAGGATAGGAGTAAAAATCTGCAAGACTTAGGTTTCATTAAGCTAAAGATGAGAGCTTAAGGCAAAACAGTACTTACATTAAGTCTAGCAGTCACATGAAGCAGTCATAGATTTGGGCATACACATACAACCTAAACTGTGCTTTACTTAAAAACAAGAAATAATAATATAGAAATAATATCTTTCCAGTATGTTCTTGTTGGTGTTTGGGTCTCCAACACAATAAGAGTCAACTTGGGGCTTCCTTGTATCTGTGTATGTGTGTGCATATCCAGTTAAAGGAAACAAGTATTTTTCAGCTTGTCAACCAATATAAAAATGACCTTGGACTTGTTGATACTCTACCTCCAGTTTCAATTAATAACTTCCTGGCCAAGGGTGCAGCTAAAAAGATGAGATGACTTACACAAATTTTGTTTATAAAAAAAATATATATTTTAACCAACTTAAATGTACACTGTAGGTCTGTTGGCTTTGCATTTCAATACTGATGACTATAATTTAAAGAATCACAATGTCACAAAACTCCAACTATAAGTCCTCCCAATGACAATGACCTGTAAGAAGCATTTCCGTTTCTGCTCTATGAAAATAATTTTATAAATGGCTATTTCTGCAGTATTCCAGCTATGTGTGGATAATAACATTACACCATTTGCCATTTGAACAACTTTATTTAATCAGCATGTAAATTTTCCCTGAAATGAAAACAGATGCAATATTGACTGAATACAGTAAAATGATTTTTACATTCATGTGAAAACACTGCTCCCTGGTGGCAAAATGTGACTCTCACAAGAATGTCTCGACACTGAGACAACATGCACTGAAAAGTGACGCTCTGTTCTCCATTAAAGCAACTTGAAAAGAAGTATTGCTTCAATATGTACTCAACTACTTCAAATATCCAAAAATACTTGTGACACTCAATAAAGATACAGTTTCCTTTATTAAGTTCATAAATATTTTACAAGCAAAAGAACCTAATAAAGGCCAAATTAAATATCACATGTATTATATTAGGCAAACATTTAAGTACAAGGGTTTTGTGTCCTGGGGATATCCACTGTCAGACATCTGAAAAAACAACCAAAAGATTCTGTTAGACTGCCATCTTATCACAAACATGAGAAGGAAAAAAAACACAGGGCTATTGAGAAACTTTTAATACCTACTCATTCACAATTTGTCAATGCCGAGCTCTTCAGGTGTGGAGATACCAAGCTCATCCAATATTGGCTGCAGCTCCTGGATCAGGTACGGGTAGATCTCTTTATTAGGTCCGGCTTTGTGCTGAGGAAGTAACCATGGTAAAACCCATCACTCATTAATTTATGACCGCCAACTGCAAATGATCCTGGTTTGCAATATCCCCTGAATTATTATGCATCTCAGAAGCTTTCCTCTCACCTTCACAGCTTCCAAAATTCGGATAGCGCTGGCTAAGTCGTCCAACCGCCGACAGGCTCTCAGTGCTGCCTCAAGAATCTTTGGCTCAGGTACCAGATCATAACCAACCAATGTGTTCATCCCTGAAAGAAGGAATTAACACTTTTTAATTGGAGAGCAGAGACAGAAATCAGACTGCACACCACATTCCTTTGATTTAGTCTGTTTTAAAAAGGATAATGATGATGATATTCTATTATTTCCATGTGAATAAACTCATGAAATGACCAAAACCAATAATGAACAAATCCCACTAAAAAGTATTTTCTGTGTAGACTGATGCACTCTATCTTATCTTATCTGATATTGTATCCCTCTGAACCACAGACCTCAATAAATGAGACACAGTTAGAGCTACATGCCTCTTACATTACAATGAACATGGGAAGTGTAGCTTATTTTAAGTTGTTCCCACACACATTGTCCTCACGCTAAAAATACTCAGTAGCACAGCAAATTTGTATTAATCCACGACTAAAAATAGTCCCAAATAATTTCATACATTATTTGAGTAATGTTTGCTAAAAACGACAGCCTTTTTAGGAAGCTACTGCCTGTTCTAAAAATGAAACTTCATAGTTGTGACATGCTTTTAAAAGATTGAGGCTGATAGCCACAGACAGAGTAAGGAAGTCAGAAAGTACTGACAGTAATGACACGTGAACGGTTTTGGTTATTTCATGGGATTTGCTGACAAAATATAAAAAATATGGAATAATCTTTTAAAGTGATCTCATAGACAAAACTTTTTTAAGTTAAAATTGTAAACCAATCAAATTTGCAACACTACTTAAAAAAAAAACTTGCTGCTTGCATTGTCATATAAGTTTCAACCACAAGGACTGTCTGCCGTTTCCTCAGGTTTCTGTTCTTATGTTTTACCCGATAAAGAGCCGTTCCCACTCTGCCCTGCAGCTCAAAATGTCTCTTCAATTGTGCTTTTATCTACAATGGACTGTTTGGACCGAACACAACCCTGCGTTAAAAAAATAGGGTTTTTTTTGTCGAAGACGTCTGCATCGGCACACTTGTTGATCAGAGTGGTCTGATTCAAATGAATGAGGAAGCGACATTTTTGACACTGTGCCACCTTGACCAATCAGAATGATACAAACCCATCAACTAAGAAACTATGAATCATAATTTAGTTGATTTTAGACTGTATTTTACAAGTTCTGTATTTTATTCAGGCAAAGTTCTTGCATGGCTGCTTGTCTAGTGAACATGTACATTACTCAGAATAAGTTATTGTTTGGTGTCTGCATTGAAACTAGGGTAATCTCTGGTAATAAATTAACACTAGTATTGATAACATGGCCCTTGTATTGGTGTGACTCAAAATCACACAGACAAAAGTCAGCAACACTGATCTCATCTGCAGAGAATCAGTTTAGTCAGTCATAAGTACTACTTTAAATTTGACAGATTTATTAACTCAAACTTTTTTAATGTTTACCCTGTTTACATTTCAATAAAGTACATTTGGTGAAGTAGTTCATCACAGTAGTGTATTCATCATGTAAATCCATTATCGTGATTTCTCCAAATCTCAGCCCAGAACAAATCTCTCCTCCTTAAAAACTCTATTGACTTAAGGTTAATACATTTGTATTTACTTTTGAAAACAACTTTCTTATTCTCAGGTCTGTTATAACAGTTAGAGACTACTGTACCTTTCCTCAGCTCCCATGCGTCAATGTCTTGCTTGTTGAAGTAGGTGACCCAGCGGGCATCAAACTCCTCATCTGTCTCTTGCTTCCCATGTGAGTAACACCTTGAGGCCAGAAGAGCTGCACAGTAAAAGCAATCATTAGGCAAGTGACCTGTCACCAATAAAATAAAGCAGTGGCATCTAGTGTCAGGTGGTGCAGAGGGGCAAACAGTCTGCAGTCAAGGATATCTACCCTGGGTCAAGTGGGAAAAGGACAAATGCTGTCTAGTAATGTAATGCAGCTGGATTCTTGCCAATGCCCTGATATGACTGCACCTATCAGGCTGAACACACACTGAGAGGAAATTTCTACCTGTACTTTGATGCTTAAATTTTTTTTTTTTTTTTAACAAAAACGTAGTTAACATTCATTGTGGTCGCCTTGAATCTTCATTAACTTAATTCAACTTTCTTGACAGGTAAAGCTAAAGAAGAAGTGTGGTTGTCAGAGCTTTGGCTAAAACATCACAACGTCAGTAGTGAGGTGCGTTTCCTGATTGTTGTTGTCTGCACCAAACCATTGCCTGATGCCAACAACACTAACTCAACGACCTGCCAGTGGGTTGAACACAGCCATAATCAACTAACCTAGTTAGCATGTTAGCAACTAGCTTCGGCAACACAACCACAGGGCCCGAGACTGAGCCTTCAAACTGGGTCATGGCAAGGACAAGGACACTACCGAGCTGAATACCGGGGAAATTTCAGAGCAGCACACAGTCTGATGATGTGGCTAGAAGCGGTGTTAAACGAAAGTATACATAATTTGACCTGAACATTAACACATTAAAAGTGCGGTGTGTAGTTTTAAGCGATAGTTACACCGGCTAAGCTATTATCAGCAAGCTCGCCGCTATGTGCCGACAGCCACGCTTGATTTCCGCTACAACTTCACCCGACTGTTTCACACACTACCAAATTACAAAATAACATTTAGAGGTAACAGCAGAATGAGCAGATACCTTGGCACCCTGGCTGCGTACGGGTTACACTCCGGACACCGGAGACAGACAGTCGGACGGCGGCTCTGAACATGATGTGGGACTGCCAGCTACACGTACCGGTAAGGTTTGGCAGGAGGAAGCTAACGCTAGCTAGCTTAGCCCGTCACGTACGCGAAACCCCTCTGCGCATGTGCGAGCTGCAGCTCATTGATTCTTTTTTCTGTATTGTTGACCTGCTGGTTCTGACGTTGACCTAGAAATAAAACATGGAGTGCCATACATTTACATATACAGTAGGCTATTGTCGAAACGTGTCAGGCATTAAAAGTAAAGACATGATTTCTGCGAAATGATTTCTAAAAATAATGCCATGAATATTTTTTAATTATAAATTAACTTTATACAATGTGCAGTAAACAGAAAAAAAAAATCAATATTTGTTGTGACCAACCTTTGCCTTTAAAACAGCACCAGTTGTCTCAGGTATATTTGCCATAGTTTTGTCTGGTAGGTTGTCCCAAGCATTGAAACAGGTCTCCTGTGGATTTAGTCTGTCTTAGTGTGTTCTGTCTCTTCATGTGATCCCGGACTGACTCCATGAGATCAGGGCTCTGTGGAGGTCAGACCATCTGTTGCAGGACTACTTGTTCCTCTTGTCTCTGAAGATAGTCATTTATGACTCTCGCTGTATGTTTGGGGTTGTTGTAACTGCAGAATGAATTTGGCACCACCTAGACATGTCCCTGATAGTACTGTGTAGTGGATAAAAATCTAAACATCTAATGTGCCTAAAACCTTTGTACAGTCCTGTACAGTCAGTTGGCAGTTAAGGTACAGTTGAAAGTAGCGCAGTCAAATACAGAAGTCAAGTGACAAATCCTACCTTCATGAAGGTTATAATCATTTTTTATTGAACTTGTTTTAGTGAAGCATTGAATCATCTCTACGGTCATTTTTGAGGATGTAGTCTGTGGTGCTGTTGAACTGTATTACATTATACAGAGAGATATTTCTGATAATTAGCTGACTGTCATTGTTATGAATGGGGTGGAGTGTATATCTGTCTTAATTTTAAGAAAAAATGGTCCCTTATGGAAAATGGATCGACATGTTCATACATACATTAATTCTCTCACAGAAAAGTTCCGTAATCATAGGATATATTTTAGTGGGATGCTATAACAACTCAGCAGAATTTAAAAAATACAACACATCTGCTAGAAAACGCCATGTCAAAATGGTATATAGCACAGTTAATGTCATTGTGACATTACTTTCAATTACCGTGTGTATGAAAATGTGCTGCACAAATAGAGCATTACCTTCTCTTGCCTATGACCCCACTGATAAGTACAACACAGTAGTTCCTACAGCAATATCAGATTTTTGGGTTGGGTTTTGCCTGTAAGTTATATTTTCTCGGGATGAGAATGAAAGTTCAACAGTCCCATGCTTGTGCTGTTGAATACTATGTTTTCCCTAACACAGAGCCCTAACTGACTTGGATCAAAATTAATTGAGCACTGGCAGTTTTAAGATGATGTTCGCAGATAAATAGATTTGGGTTTATAAAAATCCAGGTTTAGAGGTTTGAACTGCTTTTAGTGTATTTGTATTTTTATTCAAATAAAAGATGCATATACACTTTCCAGCACAGTCTAAAACATAAGCTGAGATTTATTTCATAGCTAGTTTATTTATTCCAGTGATGACATATCCATAAGTATATGAAAGTCAACCATTAATAAAAAGATTTTTGTCTTGTGATCCCTTATTATCCCTTATCCCTAAGCATAATAAAGACCATAGATGCAAACCTTGATATTTTTATTTACAATGACTTTGACCAACTTTGTTGACATTTTGCATCAGAGTAAGATCAGATATTTCTAATATATAACTATTTACAATGTTGCTAATTGTAATTTCATCACATATGTTACTTTTCATAACAAAATGTACAAAGTGTTGCAAAAGACAGATTTAAATTTCAACATGCACATGTATTGCTAAAAATCATCCAGAGTATCATGACCTTTTTAAATTCTCAGTGAAGCTGCATACTGATGAGATATTGTGGATTATGAATTAAGAGAATGTATTTCGTTTTTTGCCATTGGAGTAACCGACAGAAACATCAGAATATACAAGTTTAAATTCAGAGGTATTTCGTATTTGTAGGCAAACATGATGCTGCTAAAAAATTCCTCTGATCAAGCCTAATAAATGAAATTTTTCAGATATTTCACAATTTTGGATGTTCAGGGAGAACATACACTCCACTCATCCAGACAGAGTCTCTTGGCTGTGTGCTGTGGAGAGGGGCTGAGAGCCGGCCTGAGCAGAGCTCTACGTCTCTCTGTCTCCTCTGCGGGAACACTGGGGGATTGTGGAGGTTGGTATCCAGGCTCCTGGGGATCCAGAGGGTCTTTGGAGAGCAGGATACAGATGGCAGGGACTGTCCTCTGCATAGTTGTTCCTGGTGCTCCCTGTTGTGGACTCTCCCAAACCTCATTCACTGTCTTGTAGTAGAGTTTGGACACCTGATGCAGCCCTCCCACTTTGCGTTTCAGGATCTCCACACAGGTGATGGTCTTGGTGACTCCCCTACCTGAACCAGTGAAGACCACCTGTCTCAGTGAGGTCCCGTTGTCGTCTCTTCCATCTTCTTGCATGCGAGCTGTTACAAACCGCAGTAAATTGCGGATCTTGCTTCCTTCTCTCACTCGCATGTGCAGAATGTCTGCTGCTAGGCCGGGGATGGGATAGGGGTTGCTGTCCTCTGTGCGGCTGATTCTCCTGAAGTTGCTCTGGCCAAGTTTTGAAGACAACGATGAAGACGGGACTGAAGGGTTGAATGAAGCAGACTGTGGTTCCATTACAGTGCTGCATGCAGCATTTGAACTCCTCATCTGACCTCTGGGTTCAGTCTTTGCTTAGAAAGCAACAAAATAACAGTGCAGGATGCTGTTTCTGAGCCTGCAGCCTTGGATTATTTGCTTTATTATTGCACTTGCATTATCTTGATCTTCTCTCTGTCTTCTGTCCATGCTGCATTTCCATTTTGTCTTCGGAGCACTGAGATGACAGCCAACAGAATGAAGAGGGCATTTCTTCCTCTAATCCCATTGACGTGAAGGAAAAGATGTCCTTGCTCTATTCAGCACTGAGGACAGCTGATGCCAACAAACACATATGAGGCTCAGAGAGAGACATGTAGAGTGGGACATAGTGCTCTTAAAGGCACATGCAACATTTAATAATGTCTGTCACATTCTAGTTTGTTGGTTTTGGAGGGAAGCTTTTGTTAAACCCTTAAGGGCTTAGAGATTTTATTTGCCCATATGGTTGCTTGAATTATATGGATGAATTAAGATGAGTTAATAAGATTTAACAAGGCATGTAGTTGAAACAATTCTTTGTTTCAACCGAATTGGTCTTGATTGCCCCATTTTGCTGATATTCACAATGTGCATTCTTGTAGATATTGCACCAGCCTGCAATCTCACTTGGGTAAAGATATAGAGAGAGATTTGTAAGAAGTATGGCAACATACAGTATATCATGTTGTTCGTGACAACTTGCACTCTGCACTATCATCAAAGTGCCATATGGTCCTTAAGAAATCTCTTCCTTTGGGCTATTACAGCAACTTCACAGTTCTCCTCCCTTCAGTCCATCACCTGCTGAGCTGACCCAGAAAACGCTGGCTACATAATTTTGAATCAATGACATTTATGAGGACAGTCATACCTTGGAGCTGCGATGTTTTATGCCAAACTTAATTATGATTATGAAAACCATAACTTGGAAGAGAAGATCTCTATCCAGATGCAAACAGTGGTGTTTTCATAGCTGCTTTCTTCAGAGGGGCTGAGCTGCAGGAGGAAGTCAGGAGGCAGCTGTGGGGCTCATATGGAACCAGTACACTGTTATAATGGTGCATTTCTGCCTCAGAGGATGGTACGCACCCTCTTGTTATTCACTGATTCGAACAATTAGCACAAAGGTGAGATTCTTAGTACTGCCCATATCATTCAGAGCAAACTGCAGCTGGTTCCCAGGAGAATAATCCACTGACCGTAAATGTCACTTAAATGTTGATTAATTATCCATCAGTGAATACATTTGATAATTGATTAACCCTTGGATTTTTTTTTATATAGTTCACTGGAAAACTCAATTGTTCTTTGTGTGAGCTTTTCTTTATTAGTATAAAGCACATGACATATCTTATATTTGTGTGTGACTCCTGTGACATGTGGTGTGTGTTGTAGTTGTCTAGTGTTGTTTTCACTCAAAGGAGACTTTGACACAGACCCAACACTGCAGTTCTAAATGTGCTCACATTATCACCTAATTTAAACATCTGTAGAAGTCTCCACATTTTAATTACGACTGTCTTAATGGGGTTTTATTGGCTCTGTGTTATTGATGAAAAAGCTCACATAGGGATTTGTTATTGGTCACACTTCCATCTTGTGGTACAAACCATGTATTACACAAATAACGAAACATATCGGACCTGGTCAATCTGCATTAACAAGTAGAAGAAAAACATTTGATCTGTTAAAACAAAATGAGCAAATGTTGTAAACTTTTATTTAAAAAATGTGTGGTTATAAAAATTGTACAAAATATGTGCTTACAGTACAGACGTATGACACTTGTGGTACACAGATTTGAATTATAACAATCTGTAAATTAAGATATAAGGCAAAAAGGCTTTACAGGTACATGATTCTAAAAACCAGTTTCTTCCATCTAATACGATTACGGATGATAAAAGAAATACGAGGCGCCTTATTCAGTTTGTGAAGTATTTTCGTTCATTTGAATTAGTGTTCTTTTAATTCAAACAAAAGCTGGTAAATGTAATATCAGGCAGCTCGTTGTTCACTTGTCAAAACCATAAAAACAAACATAATAAGTTTAGCCACAAACAAACTAAAACAACTCTCACTTTCTACACTCCAATCATAAAGAAATGTGTGCATATATATGTATTTGTTTTCTCAGCACCGCTTTGAAGCAATTACTTGTAAAATTTCCCTGTGGATCCTGGCTTCCTGAGTGTTAATGTGGACATCTCCCACCTGACCATTTTCATACCTGAGAAAGAAAGTGGAGTGTTTTTAAAAAAAATAAAATAAAAAAAAATAAAAAAATTCAAAATAATCAGAAAAATTCTGACTCAGCAGTCACAGTCACAGTCACAGTCACGTCTCTGCTGCTTTACATTTTACTCACACAAAGAGGAAACGTGTGCACACATGGTCGGAGGTCGGACACACCCAAATGTTCCCATGTTTTTGAAGGTCTTTTGAAGTTATGACTGTTAAGACATACAGACACCATTTAAAAAAACAAAACAAAACAATGTCACAAAATCACACCTTATATTATCAAATCAAGGCTCTTTGTTACACTATTTTATCTCATATTTACCCTCACAGAGCGCAATGCAGTTCAGGTTCTTGCTCTGCAGAAACCTCGCCTGCCCTGGCTGTTCCTAAAACAAGGGGAGAATACAGGATGAGATACAAAAAAGAAAAAAATTAAGAGAAGGATTCCTTGTATAAAGTGCATTAGGGAGAGCCTGACTAGATGTGAATGATAATCTACCTGTTTGATTTTATTTATCCGGTTGTATTTCTTTATGAGGTCTTCCTTGGTGGTTATTTGGTGTTGACCTTTACCCATCTCTGAACAAGGACAAAGGATATGTTTCAGAAACATATAGTCTTATATTCATACTGTTAGGACCAACATTAAAGTGTGAGTTCTTACCAGAATATCCAAAAGATACACTTGAAATAGGACTCAAATAGATGCCTCTCCCATATGCAGCTCCATGAAGCTTGAATAAAAGAAGTAAAAAAGAATTTCAGCTTGGTGTCAAGTAAGTTTCAAATGTCCAAATGTACACATAACATCTTTGTGGGTTGAAATACACTGTAAAATTAATAGACTTTGGTATTTTCATGCTCTACCTGTAATTTTGTGTATGAGGCATTAACCAGCCCGTTTCTTAAAATAGAGTGCCAGTTTTCAATGTGGGAACCACTGAAAGCCGAGAGAGATGAGAGATGAGCATATGAAGCAGCAGGACTCCTATAATCTGTATATCAATGTTGATATGAAGATGATCTATGAGAGCCACAGCTTTGGTTTTACTCACTGGAAAGCAAAGGTGCTGCCATAAAGTTTTCTGGCTGTTTGGAAACGAGCCTCTTTAGTTGGAGGACTGCTGATCAACAGGAACTGATGGGGTGTGTGCATGAACTTCAGGTGCTATTGAGAGAGCAACAACAGAGTAGAATTTATACAAAGTATAAAACACAGTATATGTTTTGATATTTGGCTACTAATTATTAACTACTACTGCTGTCAAACTTGCAGCTACTGTGTTAAGACATCAGACTAACAGTAAACTGCTCTATCGTACCCTGTTCAGTGGAAGCTTGACAATGTGTGATCTGTTGCTTGCTAAAATCCTGTAGTCAAACATACAAACACACATCTGGATATGAATCTAAGAAACATTATCAAATGTTAAATAGAATGAAAGAGTGACATGCTGGTTTAGACTGTGTCGCTCACCACTGTAGTAAGGGATAGGCGAGAGGATCTATTTTGTCCATCTGCTTCTTGATTTCACAACGTGGACCCTGGAAGTGAATTGATGTCAGTAAGACATTCAACAGCTGTCAGATTACTCTCTGACAAGGAGGATCAGATGTAAATTGTGTAAATTGCGTCACAAGATTTCATTTTAGGATCAGTCACCTGTGCCATCCTCCTTATTAACAAGACATTGTCCAGTGCTTTTTGCAGCCTGTCGTAGCTCTTTCTCTGCCAAGAAAAATAATACAAATGTTTCAGAATTTAAAGAATGACACACTAAATAGTCCAACTCAAATCAAGCCAGTCATAAGTTAGATTGGTTCAGCTCATACCTTAGGACTAAAGGCCAGGGCTTTGGGGTTGTATGGATCAACAACAGAAGGGTACGGGTCAAATATGATGCTCTTGCGTGACGACTGAAGAGCAGCTCTGCACATAGCGACCAACAGGTCAACCACCTACAAGAAAAGAGATAATTAGAACACATAAATCTTACATTATGGTCACTCATACTTTATATTAAAGTGTGCATGCGTTTGTTACAAACCTCTGCACCAGTTGCAACATCCTCTGTGGCTCCAGACATAACCCCCAGCGTATAAAATGAAAACACACATAGCTCCCTTGTGCAAACTGCAGGCTGCAAACACAAAACAGAACAGTGACAAGGTAGCCAACTAGCAGTCAGCTGCATTTTAAGTTTTGCCTCAGTAGATCAGCCATTAAACAACCAGCTAATTTCTTTGTAGCAGTGTACCTTTAACATGGGGCCGTTCTGAAACACATGTTGCTCATCACAGACCACACAGTATTCATTCAGCGTGGGCATCCTCTGCTCAGCATACCTCATTATCTGTGAGCAAGAATGAAAAGCAAAGGATGATGAATAAGGAAAAAATGAACTCCGGTCAGTCTCCGTTGACTTAAATGAATGTATTTATCCTGGGCCCAGGAAACAGACTCCTCGTGAGAAACATCATAGAAACTAATTAACCATTCCTCGCCCCCAATGGCTGATTATACCAAACAGCAATGAGGACAAGGTCGCAGTCAGTCTCTTCTCTGACTAACAAATTCCACCAAGCACAGTTTACAATAAGCATATCTCAAACACTGACACACCACGATCCTCATGACTGTGCAGCTTGGTGTCAAAGGTTACAACAACCCTTATGCGTTATTACAAGAGCTGTTGACTGAACAGTGATTCAGCAATTATTCATATACATCTCAATAAATCCACCACAAATAACAAAGATTGCTTGTATTCTGACTCTCTGCCTTATATAAACTCGAACTAAAATTCCATATTATTATTAATCCTAAAGCAAACAAAATTATAAATCATTATATCATCATTAAATCATTACTCCTTCACTGTTATCTCATCTCAGAAATTTAGGTTTCTGAATGGTTCAGTTGAGATCAATTGTGAAATAATACCAATGTTATATTGTGGAACCTATTCTGATGTCATAAACACATACCATGTGTTTCTATTCACTATTAGATTCCCCTGTAAAATTCAAAGCAATGCAATAAAACAGATTTGCCAAATATTCTGGTTGTGCTGGACTCTATTATACTCTAATATTCTGTACAAGGGGTGGGAAAAACATTAGAAGCACCTCTCAGTATAATGCAGTCCAGCACAACACCACTGCAAAGTACAACCTCAGTAGTGAACACATACTGTAGTTAAATTAAACCCTCTCTTTACAGACCCACCTCGACCTTTACAAATAGTATTATGTTTCTAATAATAACAGGATTTATAATTCATCATATTAGGACAAGGCTTTACCTGTACTAAGAAGCCATGCTGCAGAGTAGGGGTGGTCTTACAGTGCCTGATGGCCTGGGAGGAGAAAAGCAGCTCTATCAGCTGTTTGGTATTAAGCTGCGCTGACGATTTGACTGCTGACATCGCCACCCTCTGCGGAAGAAGGTAGACAAACACTTTTATTAAACACCATGAGCACGTAAGAGGGAATAGGAGAGTTAATAAGCTGGGAGGACCGTTGCAAACACAGGAGCAGTGGCCAAATATTACAGTAAATCTCAAAGAAATATGGTTTTGAATTACAGTATCTTCAGCTGAGGAGGAAGTCCGCACCTTTCCACTGGGTGTGTAGGTGAAGAGCTCTCCTGGGGGATTCTTGAAGGTGTAGGAGGTTGTATGATTTGTGAAACGACTCAGTTTCATTGCTGGTAAAAGTATCCTTCCTCTCATAGTTGGTTCCTTGAGATCATTTGACCTGTTCAGAGTAAAAGGAGAATAAGAAGTGAGCAGATGTTCAAGAACAGAAATGAAACAATGATGGATATACAATAAAGGAATCATCACATACTTTGACAGTGGTAACCAGATGCTGAATCTCGCACGAACTTTCTTGATGGTTCCACTTGGCTTGAACCAGCTGTGTCTGCTCTTCTGTTCTACTACGATGCTCTCGTTTGTCAGGTGCTTCCACTCCCGAGATATGAAGACTGTGAGAATACTGGGGAACAGCAAGAGTTGGAAGAGCTGCTCTTTATGCAATCAGGTGGACAATAAATAAAGAGGGCTAAAAACCTACAACATTGCACTGAGTAATCTCATCACTGCCATAAAAATTATGATGTAAACACTCACTTCTGCAGTTGTTTCCGAAGGCTGAAATGATCCGTGTTGGATGTCTGAAAGACTTCAACTGAAGGTGCTGCAGTGAAAGGAAACATGATTTAATCAGCCATCACACTGACTTACAGTACTACAGTTATTTCGCAGCAGTGTCGCTGATGCTCACCAGGTCCATCCAGATACTGAGAGTGAGAAAAGTGCAGACGGATGACGATGGGCTCCGATGCATTAATCCTCCAGGCTTTGGCCACCTCCTCCTGTGGACACACACAAACAGTGTCATTATATTAAACAGGCCCAAATGTTTTAACAGCAATTGTGTCAATAAAGTAAATGTATGAACAGTTGTGGTCAAAAGTTTACAACTCTCCATATTCTGTGATAGAATAACACAAAACAAAAAGGTTTGGCTTCCTTTATATATTTGGTGTGTGTCTTCTGAAAATGACAAATTTGAGGGGTCATTAATACTCAGAACAGCAACCTTCAATACTATGTATTATGAATATTGGAGACATAGGAATTTATAAAATGTCATAAATTTATGAAACAGACAGTTGACTATAATTTAGTACAATTGGTAAGTTTTGTGCCTGTATAATTAGGGTTTGTTTGACTGCATGTATGCTAAGAAGTATGTTTGGAGGAGGAAATGCATTTGATGCATTTAAGAACACTGGGCCTACTGTCAAGTATGATGATGGCAGTATCATGCTCCAATGCAATGCTCTGGAACTGATGCATTGCACAAAGCAGACAGAATAATGAAGATTGGGAGCTATAAAGTCAAAGGTCCCATATTGCATAAAGTGAGATTTCCATCTCTTTTTTAATTTTATGCAGGTCTAGTTCTGTATTCTCTAGTTCTATATTAATACTGTGGAAGTATCAAAGCACTCAGTCCATGGAGAAATGCACACAGTCTGTTATCAGAAACTCTGCCTTAAAAAAAGTCATCGGGACTTCCTTAACATTGTGATGTCACAACAAAGCAGTCACCGCCCTCAGCTGTGCCCCAAGCCTGGCCTATCCGGACCCAACATCCAGCCTTGCAGGATTTCTTCAAGTGTTTAGCTGCTATATTTATATTCGATCACTCAGAAAACAGTCAACCAATCAGAAGAGAGGTCAGAGCCTCCTCTCTTCTGATTGACTCACGACCTGTTGTTACTAGAGCTCCAGAGAGAAACCTGAGAGAGGAGATGTAAAACTACATTGAGATTGTTTTTAGTACCAAAAATATATCTTTTTATGGATATCAAAAGTTCAAATAAAAAACAGTAAAAGTATCAAATATGGGACCTTAAATCTTGGAAGCAAACTTGGTGTTCAAACACAACAATGACCCTAAAAACACATCAGAAATGGCGCTGGGAGGGTAAAATCAACCTATAATGAAGCTTTTGGAATGGTCTTCCCAAAGTCTTGACCAGAACGACATTAAAAATATGTGGACTGTCCTGAAAAGATGAATCCATGCAAGAAAACCAACAAATTTGGTTGAATTCAACCAAGAAGAGAAGTCAAAGATCCAAACAGACTTCTGCCAGAAGCAGGTTGATGAGCTGCAGCTGATAGAGGTGAAAACATGGAAGGGACATGCAACCAAATCCTAACTGTGCTGTCTTTATATTTTTGATGTTCGAGCTTTTGTCTATTATATTTTCAGAAGATGCACAATTAGTTTGTAAAATAAACCAAATTTGTGAATTTTTCCCTTACAAGTAGCCTATATGTAAACTTTTGACTGCAACTGTTGGAACAGGTCTGTAAATTTAACTTACATCCAAAAAGTTGGCACTAATTGTCAAGTCAACATCCCCATCATCTATTGACCCATACTCCCTAGCAGAAGAGAAGGACAAAGTTTTACAATGCAGAAAAGCAGCAGGGATCCCTTCCTTTTCAGGCCATGGATAAGAAAAGATGTTCAGACCTGACAGAGACTGCAGAGTCTGAATACAAAGTCCTGACCGCCTCAATGTCTCTCTCCAGCTGGGGGTGGCGATACAGGTCAGTGGCACAGCTCTCCTGCGGGGACAAACACTAACACACTTACCTTATGGTCCAAACAGCTCAGCACCACAGGGGGCTGAAGGATTAAACCACTAACACAGAGTTCTTCAACAATAGCTGAGAAGAAGACTGTTAGGTTTCTTAAGATATGAAATGTGGGTAACACTATCATTTATAGCATTCATAAGCAAAATTTACTCCACAATATGCAAACCAAAAGGAGCCATTTCCATTCCAACAACAACATAACATCTGATAAAATTGTGCTTTTTAATCATAACTTCACATTCAACAATTTTCTCAAGCTAATTATCTTTCATAACAATTGGAATTCTGCTACGATAATATTCATTGCACTACGAGGATGCGGGAAGTGATGCTTACATGTATTCCACACGGGATCTCCTCTGTGTCACTGTCCTCGTCACTTTGGCTGTCTGTCCAGTGTTGGCACTCAGTCTCCTGTGTGGTTAATGGGAAAAGCTGTCAATCAAAAGATCCTCTTATTTACACAGCTCATTAGTTCCTTCTGTCAACCCAAACAAAGTCAGCTAACCTGCTACCGAGACTGCCTCTCATTTCTACACATTTTCAGGTGGTTTACAGGATATAACACTACATCTACTGGAGGATATGTGACACGTTCAATCTCCTTGGTGTGTCACATTTTATTGATTGATTGTTGTCATTATCAGTCAATCTAAAAATTATGTTTCTGATTAATCAATTAATTGTTTGGTTGATAAAAGGACAAAAAAGGGTGAAAAATGGGCATCAAAGTTGCCCAGAACCCAACATGACATATCAACTTGTTTTGTTTAGAACGCAAAGATGTTTTCATTTCATACAAGACAAAGAAAATCAACAAATATTCACATTCACAGAAAGAATCGAAGCTAATCTTTGCTAAAAATATCAAACTGACCAGAATTGTTGCTATTGTCTACTGGCTGTCCATGTAAACAACTTACTGCCCTAAAAACATATCCAGACTGTGTGACATGAGAAGACACCATATGAAAAAGAGAGGGAAACTGAACATTATAGACTCACCATGCTTTCAGTACTTTGGCACTTCTTTAGCAACAATCGACAGTCTGTTCACCTCACTGTGACCGACACAATTAAAAAGAAAAACTAGTTCAGCTACCTCTTCAATAGACACAAGAACATACTGGTAATGAGGTGTTGATGACGTACAAGGCACAAAATTAAGTTCTTACCTTTCCTCAATGAGAAAAACTCCACATACTCCATCGAGTATGAAAATCTCCTAAAGGTCTGTATGTGACCCTGAAACGACCAAAACAATTGAATATTTCTGTTTGATAGCTCGGCTTGGTGTCTGTGTTTGGCTGTCCTCTCCCCCTCTGGTTTTGAACAGCAGGAAGTCCCACATGTTCAGTCTCAGACTTCATGAGTCACATGATTGGCTGCAGATACTGACAGCCCAATCAGCTGAACCTGGTCCAGACAGAGAAGAGGCGGAGGATGAGGCCTGCAGCTCCAGGGCTATCATAGCACACTGTCCATGTTTGTCTGATGCCAAACCCACCAGTGCTTATATACTGTAGTATATCACTTAGTATAAAGGGGGAGGGGGGGACCCCAAAGAAATCATGCTATCCTCAGGTTCAGTTTTCAGTTTTAAGCTGTGATGGGAACAAAGATCCCTGGAGGCAGATTTGAAGCATGGTGATTTGGATGATGTTTGACATTTATTAGTCTTCCTGTCTGTCTGCTGCGCTGCAGTCTGACCTTAATCGGCAGTTACCCTTGTTAGCAGTTGCCTGCTGCTCTGCAGTCTGGCCAGATTAAACACTTCTAGGACTGCATACATCTGTGCAAGTCTTCTCTCAACAAGTTCTTTTCTCAGACTAATCCACTTAGACGCGAGTGGGTGGGCACAATATTGTGAATCCCTGTACCTTACACTGTATACTGTAATTGTCATGGATGTCTATGAACAACTAAGAATATAATGCAATCAAATACAAAGCAAATGGAGTTTCTGCTGAGGTGAGTCAACCGGTCTCAGACACACTATCAGCAGAACATTATAAGTTTCACAAGTGTAGTATCTGTTGCAGGGCTATTGGATTATATTGTAGTTTTTGTGTTGTTGTACCCACCCTCTTCTCATTTTATACACCCACTGTTAAATCATAACTTTCAGGCTTTATCTGCCAGGCCAGCAAGATAAATGAACAAGAGGTTCACAATGAAGCAACCAGCTCTGAACAATATCTACTGCAGCAGCAGTGGAGAACAAACATTCATCCTTGAGAAACTGCAATAGATATGTGTGTTAGTCCTTCATTTATCCTCACCAGGGAGTGTCATTGAGATCAAGATCAAAAGAGACATGTACAAGAAAACACAAGCAGTTCTTTTTGATTTAATACGCATTTTTGTGTCATGGACCAGTGTCACATACCTCAGCATTTATAGCATAGTTTGCTATGCCCGTCCTTAGATGGGGCTTCATGCAACAAAACACACCATAAAACTGCTGTGAAAAACCATATCAAAACAAGAACTAACAATTCAGTCACACTGTTCATATAAACAAATACATTTGTTTAATATTAAAGAAAACAGTTACATGGAATGAGAGGTTTAAAATTTGAAGTTTTCAAAGTAAAACATTTATCAAGCCTTGCCAGAGAATTTAGAAAGAAGAATATAAGATAAAATTTGACACACACTACTTGACAACAGTTCCTTTATATTTAAGAGATAATGAGATGGTTGTCAAGGAGAGTTAACTGCCGCAGGGTGTCACTGGCTCAAGACAATTCAACCAATCAGCCACAAGAGAGAGCTGTTGTTGAGATAGAGAGAGAGAGACAGACAGAGACAGAGAGAGAGAGAGAGAGAGAGAGAGAGAGTCCCAGTTCATACTGATGTACAGATCTATGCTAACTATATTGGCTAATTGTCTATTGGCTTTGCAGTTAATATTCAAAAATCAAGCTTTGAAATGTCACTAATAATTAAAATTAAATGTGTTTAACAATTCACTATGTGAGATCAAACAATTCATACACGATTATGTCAAAGCAACAGCTACTTACGTGCTCCTGTGAACATCTCATAATCTAACCAACATTAAATCCCATATGTTTAACCACAAAAAAGAAAAATATGTCTAAGCAAACATTTATTAATGAGAGCCAGATGGGCAGTCCCAGAAATATAGTTTTCAACCAACATGGACAAGAAAGAAAAACTAATGGATAAACATCTGTGGTACACAACAATGAAAATATATCAGTCATAAGTCATTATGGTTTAAAAATAGACATTGCTTTAACAAAATGTTCCACAAGTCGTCACAGGAAATGAGACAGGTCAAACTCCTCATTTAAATTAGCAGGAGACAGGAGAATGTAATTTTGACAATAATAATGTATTGTTTTAATTTCAGGCTTTAACTGCAGGGATTTCTCTGCTGTTGTTAGGTTGTTAATCATTCATTCTTAGGCTACATGGATAGGAGGTGGGTGAAAGTCAGTTTAGAGTCAGATTTCATTCTTGAAGGATCACAGCATCCACACCTCCCAAGAATATTTAGGAGTCATAAATGACACTGTATGTACTATATGTTTACCTCATTTAACAGCTGTACAGGGCATTAAACATTTACGTGCCTTATTCCTCTCTGTGTACAAATTACTTTTTTTTTTTTTAAAAAAAAGAAGTAAACCTGTCAGTAGATAAAATGATTGTGTTACTGAGCAGGGTGGAACACATTTAGACTGTATTGAGGAGAGTGGACACACATGTTGAGGATGGCACTGTGGAATCTAGTTTCACAGTGTGGTACAACATGTTCCTAATGTGCTTCATGAAGCCCATGGCTCAACTACACACACACACACACACACACAAACACACACATATATTATACATATATGTGTATATATATATTATATATATATATACACTAATAAAGTTGGAATAATTTTGTTTTCAGACACAATCCTCTGTTTATTCCTATTTAAATGCATCAGTAATCACTTTTGACCAGGTGCAATGATTACATTATGTGTCCCAATTACCCAGGTGAAATGAAATAAATCACATTGTCACAATCATTTCATGGAAATAGGTAAAAAATATTTTATGTCAACTTTATGAGCAACAGTGTATATATATTATTATACCATAATATAATTAATATGGCAGAATGATAATCAGATATAGGGAGGTGTATCTACTGTGTTCTATTTTTTGGTAAAAGTGTGTTATTTGTTACTATACCTGACTAAGATTAATGCATGTATTTGTGCATCTGTATAATATGTAAACAGGCTGATACTAAGTTTGCATCTCTATCAGCCTCTCCTGTCGCTTTTCACTCATCAGATGTCATTTGCTCCACTGCATGTCATTCACCTATCTTCTCATTTTGAAACTCCATCAGTGTATATGAAGCTCTTCAGTGATTTGGACGTTTGGATTGTCATTCTGTAGGATATCATGTCACAAGAACACAGACACCAGTCCACCCCAGCTGAGCTCATAAAGCAACCTAGAGTTGTGGTATGACATGAAGGCTAACAGAAAAAACGTGTAGTATGAAAGATAAAGTGACCAAATTAAATGTGTGTATTTCTGTCCTCAATGTTCTCATAGTGAAAAATATCAAACTGGTTAAACTTTCTAAGTATGTACATATTCAAAGGCCTCTAACAGATTAAGAGATAGTGTTTAGAGTTAAAGGAAAGATTAGGACAGTAAGTTAGGTTAATAAATGTGTCAAATCATGGTCAGAGGAAAAGTTGGGGTCAAGGGTCAGAGGTCAGGGCAGGAAGGACAAGTAATTCATGTAATATGAGTATTGTGATTTTGCCTGTTGTCAGAAGAGTTGTCAAGGTAAAAACACATATAACCATAAAATATCTAACAGGCTATTGCAATATGCCAAAGACGTAAACCCTTGGTCTGAGAAGAATAAAGTAAAGAAAAGGAGAATAAAAAACACAATGATGATAATAATAGTCATAAAAGAACATAAGATAAAGCAGAAAAGGGTAAGGGAAAAATAATCTGTATTTTTTTTTTAAGAAATTCAAATTAGCCTACAGTCAAAATGTCATAATGGTTTTCTTTAGATTACTGTAATAAGGATCTATTTTTCCTTTATATTTATTAATGTCATTAGATATGATCTAAACAGCATCACGTGACCGTCGCAATTAGCCTGGGAGATCATCAGTGTCTGTTTATTTGTCAGCAGGAATATGCAAAAAGTACAGAACCGATTTACACTGAAATTGGAGGAAGAGTGGGAGAAGAACCCATTACATTTTGGTGCTGATCCGGATCATTGACAACGATTTTGAATTTTTCTCTCTGAAGTTTGGTGTGTTTGACATTTCCCTTGGATGCCCTTCTAGTGCCTCGGCTCCAATTCGATGACCCAGGATCATGTTTAAGTACTAGCGGAGAGTTTTGTGAATGGTCAGACCAACAACACTTGTACCTGCACTGTATCCTCCCTCAATATTCGACCAACTTCAGTACTTTTATCTAAAAATTCATATTGAGGTTGACATTTACCTTAGATAACTACTTCTATGTAAAAATTGTAGGCTATATTTAACTCGCTGTACAAATCTGGCATATTGCCTTAACTGTCACGCCCTATATCCTGTGTCACCGGGTGTTGGTCACACAGGAAAGTAGTCCCGGCAAGTGAGGGGAATAAATACTGTCGCTCCAGCAGAACCAGTGGCGCTTTGGTCTCTGCAAAGTTCACCCAGTAGGTGAGTAACAGCAAGTAGCCTCAACTATGTGACAGAGGAGATTTGGGATTAGTTTTTAACTGAACGTGTTCATGTTGAAATCAGTTTTTTACTTTGTCATTTCAAACTTTTTGTCTGAATTCAATTATACCCTATCCCATACAGATACTGTATTTATAGTGATTTATTCATTTTATTCAGTTTGCACAAATGCAAATGTTTATAGATAGCTCAAATATTTTCATATATACTGTCTCTACTGTGTGATTTTGATCTGCACATCATGCACACTGGTTTGGAATAAAGTTAGATTACCCGCCTTGGGAAAAGTAAAGTTTGAACTTATATATAATAATAAAGGGGGTAATTGTCTAGGCATTGTCTTCTGAAACTGCATGCTTCAAGAAACTTTCCCTTTTCAATTAAATAAATGTTTGACCTGTTACTTTACTTTTTAGCAATTAGCTGTGACATTAATAAAAACTGAGATTTTCTAAACTGCATTATTCATAACCACATGTAAGATAGTCTGTCTGTACATTGTAATATATATACATATATATATATATACTGTATATATATCTATATCCCTTTTATTATTTAATCATTATGTATTTTATAATTTTTCTAATATGTTTTTTTCGGGTGATATGTTTTGACAGTCCATAAATACTCTCAGCTGGCCATGTTATTTTAGGTGAATGCTGAAGGCCGGAATGGTGTCCAAGCTCACACACCCACAAACTGTGTTTCCGTGCATTGACAT